TGATGAATCTCTATGGGTATTGGCATACAACTGACTGATACCAAGGACTACCAGGGCACTAATGAGGTTACAGGGGGCAAAGATCATTTCCACCCAGCCCAAGAATGATGCTACAAAAGACTGTGCTGGAGTGGAGCTGTGATTTCATTTTTAACTCTGTGGCTTCAAATTTTATTTACACGTATGATATGCACAGGGATGTATTGTGCAATATAATATATGGACATACAGTATACAACATGAGTTGTAACTGAATTTGTATTTGCTTTTCATACACACTCACACGTCCCAGAGTGACAGTCACTCTAAGGAAGTACATTTATGCCTGAAAAAGACTTTTCAGATTTCTTTTAACTTAAAGACTTAACACATGATTTACATCTTCTAAACATTGTGGAGAAGCAATAAAAAAGTAAACAAAATGCTAATATATATAGTTAACAGAGTAGAATTTATATCAAGGGATGTTATGTTTAAATTGGATAAGGCATTAGTAGGGCCTCATTAGAAAATTGGGGACAATTTTGATCACATTATAAAAAATATATTGCTGCGATGGAATCCATCCAGAGAAAGGAAATTCAAGGGCCTTCAGTAAAAGTCCTACACTGACAAACTGAAACAACTGAACCTACTTAGTCTGAACAAGAGATGATTATGAGAAGACCTGATACAAGCATTGTATCTTCAAAAAACTGGCAAAGTCATCCCTGCGGACTTCTTTGGACTTTTTTGGAATGAAAAGTAAAACACTGACCAAGGGGCACAAGTGGAAACTATATGAAACTGCATTTAAATTAAGACCAGGAGTCACTGCTTTATCCAGAGGGTTGAAGGTGTATGGAACAAGGTAACCACTCATGTGGCTACTGTAAGTGTGCAGAATGGCCCCTTCTTATCTGTAACCTCGTCAATTGTTAAGAAATATATAATCCCAAAATGTCATAAAAATGCTGTTTCCCATTTTTCTTTACTATTTTCTCAGTTAGCTATGTTTTAAATTCAATGTTAATGAAGTGTCGATCCTAACTCATAGATTGTGTGTGATAGACAGATATGGTTCATTATTCACAGATGTCTTGAATAAGTCTACTTTGCTGTGGTGACATTTCTTTTGAAACACTGGAAAAGTTTTAGATACAGCTTGTATTTTCAGGATTATATTTTTTGCTTTTCACCTAAAAGATCGCATGCCTGCTACAAAATGTTTAAACTAGAATTGAAAGAAACATACTAATAAGTAATAATAATTAATTGGGGAAAGGCAATTGTAGAACATAAAGAATTAAGACTTGCTCAAAATGGAGCAAAGCATGATCTGCCAAGAAATAAGTTGCTAGGTAACAGGTAGCATATAGTTATGTAATGTATTTCCAGCTTATGGATCTAATCACTTTCCCTCACGGGAGATGAGCAGGGAGACTGGAAGGAGATATTTTTTTTTTCGTGGCTGATGCTGTTTTATTTTTCGATTGTTTAACCTCAATGCTTTTGGTATGAATAGAAAAGAGCTGTGGAGGTGGACATGCAGGAGTGCAGAAGCACACTGTACACAGAGCAAGAGGTACAGAGCTGTGTGCAGGTTTAGAATGAAAGACTCATGACGTTCTTAAATGGCTGTTCCTTTATCCGTAAATAAACAGTACCTTTTATATAGCTCTCATAAGCTGTGGGTGAGGTTTTGAAAAATAGATTTGGTGGTTTCTGGATGCTGGTTTCCGATCTGTGTTTCCTAATAAAAAAACTTCCCCAGGCTGTGGCGCACAGTTGGCAGAGTGCCCTAGAGTAGGGTTGGGAATAGATGGCCAATTGTCCAGCTAACAGAGGCTCCTGAGACTTTACCAGGCTTGTAGAGACATCAGAGGCAGACACACCTCTTTTTCAATTAGCAGCAGCGTTCCTGTCAGGTTCCATGGAACGTGTAGTGTGTCATGTCAAATAATGACTGCTGGTGATTGGGGGCCAAATTGGAGGATTTGGGGGTTATAAGGTGGAGTTTCCATAGTACATACTGTAGAGTTATGTCAGTAAACTAACTTTTAGACATTCAAAATGTCACGATATTAGTTCCCCCTCCTTAAGGGTCTCCAGCCCTTTCACTCAAGACTTTATTCTATGCTCCTGCTCCCTATTCCCAGCCCACCTTAAAAGCCAGGCGCTGACGCTCTTCCGGGCTCTGCACCTGATTTCCATATCGTGCGAGTCCGGGACCTGGAAGCGCCTGGTCCCGTTAAGGTTTTAACCTCTGTTCCCGTTCCCGTTCCTGTTCCCCGTCCGCCGGTTCCGACCCGGCCTTCGTGGTTTTTTAATTCTTGCTCTGATGGATCTTCTGGTTTTGGACTTACCCTTGTGTTTTGGATATTCCCAAAGGACTACTCTCTCGGGTTGTTCGCCTCGGCCACGCCTCCCCCGTGCACCAGCGCACCTTGGACACGCCCCCCTGTCTTCAGCCCCGTTTTCCTGCATGACGTTTCCCCACTTCGTCGGATTGTGTCATCCGCATAGGGTCCGGAAAGAACTGTTCGTTACAAAAATATGGTGACCTTGAGTCAAAGCAGTGCATGGGTGGAAGACTGATTTTCTTTGCATATATTGTTCTTTTGATAAGTATCAGTATAGGAATCATGATAAGAGTCAATCCTCCTGACAGGATTGTGGTTAAGGAACAGCTGGAACAGCTCCCAGTCTGGTGCCCCATTAACAAAAATGCTCTTCACTTCTATGTACTTCAGTTAACTGCATGACGTTTTCCTTTGAGTGTCTTCAGCACACTCAGCAGAGGCATCACTGAGAGCAATTCAGATCTCTAGTGCCTGTCGAAAACCCCCTGTTCCTGCTGGAAATCCAATCTGAAGAACATCCAATCTGAAGAAAAAACTGGAGAACAGGGCGGGTTTCAGCCATGTGAAAAGACAATTTAGGATGGAACTCATTCAGTTCAGGAAAACAAAACAGGTGCCCTTGCAAATTTAAACTGTAGGTAAGAAAGATGCACTGTATTAAAGCCACAACAGCTCATCAGGCCAGAGCTTCTCCTGGTTTCCAAGGTGTTACAGTAAGTGATCACAGAACACAAAACTTCCCCAGCTGGATGGCAGGCTTGTCTATCACAGACCATGCTTCACGCAAACAGATCTCCACAGCTGGATGAACCACAGCTGTCAGGGTACAGTACCTTGCTGGAGGGTGCAACAACAGCATCTGCCACAGGGACCTGAACCCACAACCCAACAGTTATTGCCCACTATCCTGCAGTCTATGTCTACAGAATAAAACTGTACAGAACAGCATCATTTTATATAGAATAAACACAATTGGATGATTATAAATGATTGGGAAGAATGTTTAAGTGTAGATAGATGAACAATAGAATACACTATACAGTATATATTATTTTTATGTATTTTATATAATGATTTGAGATTATTGATGTTAACAATTCTAAAAAAAATAAACTTTATTATTATGTACTGTATTAGTGTGTTTTTTATTTTAAAGTTGAAATCATTTCTTTGATTTCCTGCTAAGGCTTATAATCAAAAGACATTTTTACCAAAGGCTAATTCTTTATTTTCAATCACTCAATACCAACACCAGCCTCTGCCTTCTTTAGTTTTGTATGTGTATTTGATTTCTCTTTCATTCATACTCTGAGCAGAATGATGACTGCAAATGAACACTGTACATATCCAGCATTGTTCATGTTAAGATTTTTGTTGTGGGTTATTATAGCAGTTATTGGCTTTCTTACTATTGTATACGATTGGATATTAAATTCTAGAGCTGGAGTGTACTATGTATGATTAATGTTTTACTAAATTTAAAGACATTTGTGTCACGGATGTCGGAAGGGACGAACCGTATGGTAGGAGAGCGGAAAAAGACCCTTTGAGTGAAGGTGAATGAGAGACCTGGAAATATATAGCCCCAGAGAGAGAAAGAGACTGGAAGGACAGCAAAGCACAGGAAACTAGGGACAGGACAGAGTAGGAGCGCCCTCTGGCTGCAGAGGGCGTGACAATTTGTACCTTTTAAAGTCATTCCTCTACAATGTAACACAGGACAAGTCATTGTTCTTTCTGTTCAGGAAGAAGCACACAACTAAGTTTTGTCTTAATTTAGTTTTGTTGTAAAGAAATGTCACTTTCCACATTTCTTGTCATGGCTTTGAGTTATACTGTGAAATTTAATGGGACAGGCTGACATTCTACAAAGCAGCTTATTTTCTTGATATAGTGGTTTGACATTGATGTTTCATTTGGATGATTGTGTCAAGCTAATGACAAAGAAAAAGGTCAATTTGTTGTAAAAACATATCACAAGATAAACAGTTCAAATAAAACTCAGAGTTAAACTAAACTAAACCTTAAAAACTGAAGTAAAAGGATGGGTTACTTTACGTTTTAATCAATACGGACAGTCAAAGAGCATTTACTGGATTGATGCAGTGACTTTCACAACTGGGAAGCTTCCTTAAAGAGAACTTTATCATTCTACTGGCTGGTTTGAGGTTGAATAAGAAGGCCCAGATCGGCAGATATTTCACTAAGTGATGAGCTGTACTGAAGAGGAGTTGGACTATTAATTGGAGAACCTTAAAGTTCACTCACAAGCTTGCATGAGGCCAGTGCAGTTTGCACAATGCAGGAGTAAGAGTTTATGGCAAGGTAGAGTCATTATCGTGAGCATGTGAGCCACACAATTCCAGCCATTCTCTAGCTTGTTGAGTAGTCTACCTTAGTAGATGCCTTTTCTAGTATTGCAGTAGTTTCATTGGGATGAAAGAAGGAAATGTAATGTTGCCATATTAAGGGCATTGTAGTACCACACAACATTATGCAATATTCTTCAAATAATACAGTGACTCGTTTCATTTGCCTTACTTTATGGAAACAGCCGGGTGTGCACAAGCCAGGAGTTGTCTGTAGGTCAGTCACTGACCACTCTGCCTGAAGAGCACAAACCCCAAATCACTGATCCTCTTTGTTCCTTTATTGCAGTACTACTTCACTGTTAACTTCAACCACGACAACCAGAAGGCACTGGAGCTGCGCACGGAGGATGTGAAAGACTGTGATGAATGGGTGGCAGCAATAACACACGCAAGGTACAGAGAGTGCTTTCACCCACCTCTTCTCACTTCTCTTCCACCTCCCCCTCCTCTCCATGAAGCTTTGCTTCTCTCCTCTCTTCACGCTGTCGGTCCCCTCCCTCTCCTTCAGTGCAGCACGGAATGAGAAATCTGGCACAGGGAGCTTGAGTGGTTCCAGATGACACAAAAAGAAAAGCCAGGTCACCAAACAGGGAACAGAGTCTAAGCTAAATAAGTGCAGACGGTTGCATTCTCCTTTGCAATTTGAGATCTTTTAAATTCAGAAACCAGCATTATATCTCTACAAATGTTTTTGCTTTCACATTTTCCTCTTGTAGAGTAAGATGCCATTGTTAAAGGGCATGGTGGATGGTTGTTCTGGGTTTATTTTGAGTAATAATATTTGTAATAATAGTTAAGAAAGCTGCTCAGATTACTGCCAGCACATGATTAAACAACCCATCAGTGAACCAAATCAATAATCTCCATACTATCACTGCCTGAATCACATGTTAATACAGGATTTGGCAAAACCACTAGTACTGACTGCTTTAGTTCAGCTCTCTATGAGATACAAATCTGAATTTAATCAGGCTGCCTAGTGAGTAAGATAAGGCAACTCATTAGATGTGAACATGGCAAGGATATTCTGTATAGGCTGAAGAAGAGATGCAAAAGAGTGAACAGAAAATGGAAATGTAGTGATTGTTACTTGTATTTCAGCATTGCTGGGTATTGTGGATGGTTAGGCAACAGAAAAATCGAAATAATTCTTTCTTTGCTTTTCATCTTCTTCCTCTGTACTCTTTGTTATTTTGCTCTTTTTAAAATTCTTTAGAGCAACTTTTAATTACCTGGGGGCAGGATTAAATAATTATAATAATTGTTATAATTGCTTACACTTATATAGCGCTTTTCTGGACACTCCACTCAAAGCGCTTTACGGGTAATGGGGACTCCCCTCCACCACCACCAATGTGCAGCCCCACCTGGATGATGCGACGGCAGCCATAGAGACGTTCTTGGAGGGAGTGGCATGTCCCCAGAGAGTGATTTGTTCAAAATCGCACAGCACGATCGTTAAACCAATCATTGCAGAGAGGCAGGGAAAACTGTTGGCCAACAGCGAGCTATTAACATACCTTTCAAGTGGTCATTTATTACAGCTATTGGATGCTCAGAAAGGAAAGAATTTTCTGCATCTTACAGCAGTAACCAGAAGCATCTTTTCAGCAGAAAACCCATATTCACATAATTCACATGAAATTCACATAGTGTCCCTGCTGTGTCCAGCATAGATGGATACAAGGAAAACAAATAATAGTGGCCCATGAGATTGCTCATTGTCATTTTGTCTGCATCATCGATATATCAAATAAAGTTCTTTTAGTAAATAAGTGACTTAAGTGACTAAATTAACTGTTTGGGACTTTTAATAGAACATCAATGCAATGTATTTATGTCTTGTTCAAGGGTATGGGGGTATGTAACACTACTGAGTCTCTCTTCACCAAAGGACACCGTAACAGTTTCTGGAATATAGGACAAGCTGCCCAGCCCTGTTGTCAAAGCTGATATCGAGGCTTTTTTCGAGAAAGGGCTGAATGAGGTTCTTGGAACAATCAGCCACTAACTACCCAAAAGTGTGAATTGTCCTCCTCTAATTTGTAACTTTTCTTATCATCCCTATCATTCTGATTAGGTTTGTATTGTAACATAAACTGTACACTTCTAGTATATTACTGTCTTCTGTGTACCCTTTTTGCCTGTGTGTTGTAAGCACATGCTACATTTGGTTCCTTTTCCTTTATAGAAGTAATCAATAATATATTCCCTTTTGGTATTCATGGTACTAGCAGTAACTGCTATACCATTACAAAACATCCGTTGAACATCAAGTGCAACATATAGTAATTAGATATCTGGTTGCAATACTCAAATTACAAATGTTTAATACTGAATGATAAGTTCTATTACTTATTTAATGAGTCATGGTTTGCTAGTAGCAGCATTAACAGAGCATATGCATTTACTGTATAAATTTGTAGAAAGAGACTCATTCAATGTTAGCTTTACCTTGAGAATAGTGTCCACACACAATGGAGGCAATATACAATGAATTCACTGAGGGTGTTTGAAACAGAGACATGGCTTCAGATCTCCCTCTTCTTCTTAATAATATACATACAATGCTGTGTAAATAATTCACCCCTTTCCAATGATGACCTACTTCCTTGAATTACAAATGATGAGTACAAAACTTGAATGCTCAATCAGAGCACTCTTATTGGTAAAGGAAGTTAAAAAACTGCAAAAAAATCAAAAGCAGAACATGTAAGGTACTGTCTGTCATTTATGTATCTTTATTTCTGATTAGTCATTGTATATGCTGTATAGTATTTTTACATTCAGTCTATGTACTTCCCTCTTGTTTCATGTTCGTGGCGTCTTCCACTTCCTGAGTTTTTCTTCCCTGTTCAACAGTTCGTAGAGTAGTTCAGAATGAGGGCTATGATGTGAAAAAGGGTCTCAGAGATGGTTCTTTAAAAAGACGGATGGATGTAAGACACTAATTAGATGGTTTTGCGCCTTCATCAATATCACTTCACAGGGAAATGCTAATGGGCTCACACCTCAAACGCTGTGCCAGCTGCTGCTGCCAGAGCTAGTGCTGCAACCCTGCACAGAGCATGCTTTCCAAAGTCACATTGAAGCCCCAGTAACGTTTTGGCCACACTTTGAAGTCGGTAACTGGGCTTTGCCTGTTGCTAGATATGTTTAGCCTGCCACGATCTGGCCCTTTAAGTTCAGCCACCTGAATTTCTAAAACACATACTTCTTGTTTATTAACTTATATTAAGGCTTCTCTCCAGATAAAAAGATGAAATAGGAGCTGCAATGGGTCAGTGCTATAACTGGCAGTGTCTTGGTGTGGACAAACTTTGGGCCTCAATACCTGAGACTCACTAGCCATTAATCATCCAGGAGGGTGAACTGTTGTGTCTGGTGTAGAAAAAAAATATATACTTAATTTGAAAGTCATGGTACTTTCCCAGTCTGATGTGGATATGAGTTATGATAACATTGTTCAAATAACATTAGCAAGGACTTTGTGGTCATGATGGATTGTCCTTCACTAAGTACAGTAAGTCTAACAACAGTTCGTGCCAAGCTGTGAAGGACAGAAGCAGTATTTTCCATTATCCTTGAAAATACTCTCACACACCGTATAATAAGTATCATTGACAAGATTGCTCGTTAAAAGCAGAGATTGCCTCCAAACAATTCACACATGCAGAAAAGGCAGAATATCTGTTGTCACTCATTACCAACAATTAGCCTTGTTAAGGACGGAGACTTGTTGTAAACTTAAAACTAAAGTAAAATGGGTAAAATTATAGAAATTCGTTTTTAATTTATTTTAAAAATACTTATTCTGTGAGCTTTGATATAGAAATGCAATATACGTGCAGCTTTGGTATAACATTGAAACTGCATGTTTCTGATCTTGCTCTGTATAAACCCTTTGGAGTGAAAATAAAGAAAAAAACTCTTCATTTACAGTTATTGCTGTCTGCAATGCCTACCATGTCATAGACATTTATTTCCTTTACATCCATCTGGATTCAGATTTTTGGATCAATATGTTTCTACCAGCTCACTAAGTGAGACGGGTCTACTTGCCTCCTTTTATCTAATATACATGTTATCTACAGTATGAGACTTTCTGGTGCTAATGTAAGCAGCAATGAGAACCATACCTGATGCCTAGGCACTCAGGTCCTGCACTGCACTTACCTATATTCTGCTAGGCCAACACCACAATATCAGTACACAAGGCCTCAATTTAATGTCTTGTCCAAAGGACATCACTTCTTCCTGCTCTGTGTCCTATATTATAGTGAGGGTTTAGCCTAGAAGTTCTAGATCAAAGGGAGTAGTGCTTCCACCACTTTCAACAGCAACATGGCACTCTGTGAAGATGTCCCGTCCCTGTACTGAGCAGTCCCAGCCCTGCTTATCTTCTGAGGTCTGCAGAGATTCGGCTCCAAGGTGGCACCACGTTTGTAACCATGGAACCCTGTTTTCCTGAAAATGATCAGTAGACATCACACTCTTTGGGCAGCTCATTAGCCCCTGAATGGTTTTGACACTGAAAGAAGAAGAAATGGGTCCTGCCTTTCTGCATGTGGGGTTGGAGATAGGGTGTACTGCTCTTGACTGGCCTACTAATGACATTGGCATAAAGACACAGTCCATCTTCAACTTGTGGGCAGCAGTACCGCTGATTTGTGACTTCTCCTCCACGGAGCTGGGGTAACAAGAATAACCTAATCTTTTGTATACTGGAATCAGAAAATAATACTTTGTTTGAGTGCTGAAATGTTTAGCTGGAATTATGGTGGTAACTGTAAGAGATGAGCTGCTGTATTTACATCAGCAAGAAGAGTAGTGTTAAATAGTAAACTATTTATGTTTGAGTATTTTTGTCTTTTTTTTAAATAACCCTGCAGTGCGCTTTACTTTTGCAGTGTCTTCTCTCTAAAGACAAGTGTCTTCTCTCTTCTAAAACATCTTCCTCAGCCTGAAGCAGACATTAGCATGTACAGTAGTAAGGATACTCCACGACAGCACTCCAGGAGTTTCACAGCTGCTCACAGCCTGAGGGAAGAGGAAAGGAGAGCTGCATGTCCTCTAACGGTCACTCTGTTCATACAGTTACAGAAACCTCGCCACAGAGCATGAGACCCTCATGCAGAAGTATCTCCATTTACTCCAGATTGTGGAGACTGAGAAAACAGTTGCTAAGCAACTTCGACAACAGATTGAGGATGGGGAAATAGAGATTGAACGCCTAAAATCTGAGGTAATTAAAAAAAACTTCAATTCACTCTACTTTTGATATCCCAGTTTAAATGGAAATCTCACAGCCTTGTGATGAGGAACCCCTTGTTCAATAGTAAGCCTATGGATATAAGGTACAACTCATTAGTGAGGTCCTTTATGTGTTTCATGCCATGAAGTATTAAGTGCTGTGTTAAACCACCAATATTATTATTTAAAAACTAAAATGTAGTGGAAGAAATGATCCTCTATTATGCATTATAGATGTTTTAGAGCATTACCACAGTAGTTTGTGATAAAAAAGAAAAAATACCACAAAACAAGGTATTGTGTGTTTGTATGTATTCCACCATTACCTATTTTTTATGACTGGCCATTAAGTACTGGGTTGCAGAACTCCACTGAATCTGTACTTATAAAAAACTCCCCCCAAGCAACTTAATTTTCCCTGGAGTATTCTTTGTAAAACAGATCAAATAGTCATATCACTTTAATGTGCAAATGTTGCACTTGAAATAAAACACTTTTCCAGTGCTGAATATGTATTAACATATGAACACTTTTGTACCTGCTGCAGCTATCTTTGAAAAATGGTAATAAACTCTTTTAGTCCATATGAGGTAAATAGGGATAATTACAGTAAGTTTGTGCCAGCTGTGCGGTATAAATTGCTTTAGTTCATTTCCCATCTCTTAATGCAACCCAGATAAATATTCACAATACCTACTGTAACATGCATAGCCAATGTGCAAATGGTATTAATGATAGGAAAAATCCATAATGTAGCTTCCGAGACCATTTCTTTTTTATTTTCTACAAATGAGGAGATTTCTAGAGGCATGGTGCAAAATCTTGCAACAGAAGCATCTATTTGTAAGACATCCAAATCAAATTAAATCAAGTATTTAAACTCCTCGTAGGCATGAGAAAATTCACTGCTATGGCCACCTTCAGAATCAGCTGTAAAATGAGTACATTCTGGGATACAGAAACAGTACAGGAAGAACCTCTTTACATAACTGTGGAAGTATGGGATACAGTACCAAGCCACAATGTTGAAGATAACACCTTGACTTCTTTAAAGAAACAACTTGATCCCCAGATCATTTAGGTGACAGCAAAGTCAATTCAAATGAGCTAGTTCAGTCAAATGGCCTTTCTAAAGGCTACATTTGTATGAATCCGTTACCTACAGCTGCATGAATTGGATCAAATCATTCCACCACCCTGCTGCTGTATCTGTCCTTACCCAGACTCCTGGCAATAACATCAAGTGCCACGTTGTGATGTTCTAGATCCTAATCGAGTCCAGGCCACTTTTTTTATTCTCTTCATGTAGCCATATATATTTAGATTATATGACACGTACATAAACTAAACACTTAATTTAGCTCTGGGACCAAAGCACCTTAACACCAATATAGGCATAAATCCCACAATAACAGAAAATGCACAGAAGGAAACTATTTTACATCGTTGCTCCCTGCACCTTCCCCAAGGTAAAAGAAATCCACACTCGGGAGGCTTTAGTATGGAACTGATCCCTTGTAAGGGGATTAAAACTAAGAACAGTGAGGGGATTAAAAGGAGGAAATAGTTGCTTTCTTTTCAGAATTCAAATTGAAAACAAAAAAAAAATCCTTTTGAAATCTAAAATTACAAGTGATCATGTTGTTAGAGGACTGTTTTGTTTTCTGATTTTTTTATTTTTTGAGTCACACCCACAGACTCTGTTCTTCAAAGCCCTTCTCTCACTCACGGTCTCTCTCAGATTGCGGGTTTGCTCAAAGACAATGAAAGGATTCAGTCCAATCCAACAGCTGCCCCAAGCGACGATGACTCCGATATCAAGAAAATCAAAAAGGTGAGCATGCTGGGGGCTCATTTAAGAGCACAGAAAAAACGAAGCATGTGTTCTATAAAGGGTTAATGTTAAGGGATGGTGGAGAAAATGCACTGCATTTCATTTTATTCCCATTGGATAACTTAAAATGAATCTCATCCACAAAAGTTGAGATTGTAATCATCATTTATGTATTATGCTTTCTATTTTTTCACACAGAGCATGACACAACCTGAATTATAACAATCATTATAGAAGTGATAAGTGAGACTGTATTTAAAGTCTCTTTGGAATAAAAAAAGATATCCCATCATGTCCTTGTAGGGTTTCTTTGCTCTTCTTTTTAATTGTTTTGCTACTGTTATTCTTATCCGTTAATGCTAAATTACTGGTGTAAATATATCGGAGTCGTGTTTTTTGGTCAAAGTCCCTCAAACGAATTACAGACTGCTATGGAAAGAGGGCCTATACAGAAAGAAAAGCTCTCCCTTGTGCAATGTATACATAATTCATATGGATACGTGTGCATACTGTATATACAAGGGAAGAGAGATTGACATGCAGCACATTGTGTGCAACAAGGGTTCTGGCCCATGTGAGTAAGTGACTGGCATGCGACCGCCCTCTGATTGTCAGGTGCAGAGTTTCCTGAGGGGCTGGATGTGCCGCAGGAAGTGGAAGACCATTATCCAGGACTACATCCGCTCGCCCCACGCGGAGAGCATGCGCAAGAGGAACCAGGTAGTCTTCAGCATGCTGGAGGCCGAGGCAGAGTACGTCCAGCAGCTGCACATCCTGGTCAACAACTTCCTGCGGCCCCTGCGCATGGCCGCCAGCTCCAAGAAGCCACCTATTACCCACGATGACGTCAGCAGCATCTTCCTGAACAGGTGCCATCACACTTTCCCTTCCTCGGTCCCAGCACTGCTCAGCTCCTCACAAGCAGCTGGCTGCGTGCTGACATGAGACACAGTGCGGGACGCACTACAGTTCCAGTCATTTCAAACGGGAGAAAACAAAAAGTTGTCTGTATGTTTTTAGCAGTTGCTTTTAGATACTGGTGCTCTTCTTCAAGTTGCAAATGGCTTGGCATTTTTAATGAGGTCGTTATGTCATCTGAGTGAAGGTCGAGTCTTTACTGCTTGTTTCTTTTTACTCTTCCACAGTGAAACCATCATGTTTTTACACCAGATCTTCTACCAGGGGCTGAAGGCGAGGATAGCAAGCTGGCCAACATTAGTGCTAGGTAAGAAACAAGATGGGCTACCTCTCTCTCCTTTCTCTCTGACCTTCCTTACTCCTCTCTGGCTAAGCAGTAACTCTTTCTGAGATCGTATAGCTCCTACAGATCACATTTTCAGAGACTTTCTCCATGGATTCAGAACTCAAAAGCAAAATTCGGGTCCTTATGCTGCTGGATGGCCTCATAGTCTCCCTGTCCCACACCTGCTGTAAGGCAGATCTCCAGTTCTGACATCTCAGCAGTCATTATGCTTCCATATATCTCTTTGTCCTTAAACTGTGATAATGATGATGCTTTTATTACAAGAAAGCTTGCCTTTAGTAAGCAGATTAGATACTACAAATGTTATTTGTGCAGAAATAATTTCTGAAACTTATATATACTGTACAGTATACAGTATATACAATATTCATCTCTATATAGATATCAACCTCTCAAATAATGTCAGGAGATTATGTTGTGGGACATGTCATCAGGTTGCTCCTAATAAAACTATGCTTACTGAAGTTCATTAGAATATTGCTTTACCCTAATACTGTTAATGCATGGTGGACAATTATATATGACTTGAGAATAGGCAGAAGAAGCTCATTTTGAGTCAAAGCAAGGTGAAGCTTGCCGTGAAAGTCTAGTTTTAAACAGAATCTTAGCTCTGAGCGAATGGCGTTGGAATCACAGCATGGAAACAGTCTTGTCTGCGTGTCTCTTACTTTCCAGCTGACCTCTTCGACATCCTGCTGCCCATGCTGAACATCTACCAGGAGTTTGTGAGAAACCACCAGTACAGCCTCCAGATCCTGGCACATTGCAAGCAAAACCGGGACTTTGACAAGCTGCTGAAGCAGTACGAGGCCAAGCCAGACTGCGAGGAGCGCACACTGGAGACCTTCCTCACCTACCCCATGTTCCAGGTGCAATCCCAGTCCTGCAGACACCTGTAACATCCCCTGGGATTTTCTCATGGGAAAACATACGAGATGACCAAGTCACATTTTTTTAAGTGCTATTTTTGTTGTAGTTATAAAGACATTTTACCTAGAATTCTGCACATCTGAATTTCAAATGCCCTACTGAGCTCTCACGAGAGTAGTTTTTTAATAAACACAGTGTATACCCTGTTGTCTGTCAGTTCTAATGACTTGTACAAGTGGCACTTGCTAGAGCATACTGTTGCACAATGTTCAGCTAAGGTCTGGATCTTTCAAAACTCAGTTAGGTGTAGTATACACATTCCTAGCATGCCCAGCAAATCCACTGCAGCTGTTCTGATTTGAGGCACTGAAGAGATTGTAGATATGCTCATGGTGTCCCACAGTGCAGCTCCGTCATGTTGTCAGCTCTTGTCCCAGCTTTGACTTACTGGTTGCTGTTTGCTCAGATTCCACGCTACATCCTGACCCTGCACGAGCTGCTGGCTCACACCCCACACGAGCACGTGGAGCGCAACAGCCTGGAGTACGCCAAGTCAAAGCTGGAGGAGCTGTCCAGGTGCGTGATCTGTCTGGAGCTCTCCTTGAACAACCTGTTCCTGGCACTTCAGGAGACTATCACGCACAAGATGCATGCTAACACAACTTGTCAATTCATGCATTTAAAAAAAATTGCAATACTGAAGTCTGCACAATATTTCTGCATTTTTTGATCAAACTATAAGAAACAGTAATCTTTATGTTCACAGATTTGACAATGTTTATCTAGGATTCAGAGAAGCAGAAACAATACTTTTATCTGATATAATATTAATTGTTAAACAGATTGTTTACATTGGCAACTGAAACTTAACATGGTAAAAGCAACAGAATGTCATTTTATGCAAGTCGGCTCCATGAAAGTACAGTGAAGTGTTACAGTCCCATGAAGTTATTGCTAAATCATACTTTTGACATCTACTGATGGGAAATGACCATACTTGTCTATCTGCCTCACAAACATGTACTGTTCTTTGAAGAAAGAGGGAAAGTTAGTGGCTAGATGTTTTCTCCTAGAATCATGCACGACGAAGTGAGTGAGACAGAGAACATAAGGAAGAACCTGGCCATTGAGCGAATGATTGTGGAGGGATGTGAGATTCTGCTAGATACCAGCCAGACATTTGTTAGACAAGGTAAGTCTTACAGTCACATTCAGCTACTTGACAGAAGACACACAAGCAGTAAATCTGTGGAAAATCATGTCACATGCACAGTAAAACAGACATATACTGTATCTGTGTATATGGTAATCATGGATATAAAACATGGGATAAAATAATCATAGGAATACTTGGAATAATGCAATATTACCATAGCTAACATTTCTAAATGATGTCTTCCTTGTTTTGTTTACTCTTTGGTTTTAAGCAGTGATTATTCGAAAATAAGATGAGAGAAACAAAATTTGTAGTTGCCGATCTTCGAAAGCATAATTTCATTTTTTGAAACCCTGTTTTGAATTGGTGAATGTTAGCCATCACCAAACAGAAGAATTTCATTCATTGTAGACTAAACCATCCATTTTCACTGACCTATTCATCCTGAGGTTGCACAAGCTGGAGCATATCCCAGAAGGCACAGGGTTCAAGTCGGTTCTCCTCCCTGAATGGGACACCAGTCTGTCACAGGACACACACACGTATTTGAAACACCAATTCACCTAAACATTGTATAAATGAATTGTGCAAGGAAACCAGGGAGCCTGGAGAAGACCTAGTTGGACATTTGGTAACAAGCAGACTCTACACAATACTGTCCACTGTGCTTCTGTGCTGACCCAGTAGAATAATTACTTTTCAAAACCCCTGACAAGTTATCAGTGGTAAAGTGGTGTACACAAAAAAGTGAGTTGTTTTTTTAAACATTTGCTGCCAAATATAATTAGGCTTAATTAGGCTGAAAATAGTTAATGACAAGTCATAACCAATTATAACACGAGTTAAGAATTTTAAATGTCAGATTTTTGGTCGGCTATTACATTAATCATAATGTATGTAGAAATCACTTAACCCTACAAATCCTCTGTCAGGTGTGCATTAATAGCTCTGTAAGCCCCATAATCAGTCTTTGCAGGTCTGCTGGTCACATGTGGGCTGATCACTATTCTTTGTGTCCCCTATGATCCAGGTTCACTCATCCAAGTGCCAATGAGTGAGAAGGGCAAAATCACTAGAGGGCGTCTGGGGTCTCTTTCTCTGAAGAAGGAAGGGGAGAGGCAGTGCTTTCTGTTTTCCAAACACTTAATCATCTGCACCAGGGGCTCTGGAGGAAAATTACACCTGACAAAGGTGTGCACAGACTACTAAAACTGCAAAGTGACGGTTCATCACACATTTAAAACTGTAAAGCAGAGAGAATGAATCATGCCTCTAAGGCATGTCAGTAAGCTCTGTTTGTGGCATGGGACGATTTCTTAGAGCAGCAAAAAAAGATTTGAATAGTTGCTACGTGAATTTTGTATTGTACCTATCAAATAAAGATTTCTGAAAGTCCATATTTTCCTGTGAAAGCTGATATACAGTATGGATTGATGCATAACCCTTGTAAAGAGCCAAACTGCATAAAGCAAAGCTGCTACATGCAGCACATCTCCTATTGTTCAAATATTTAACTGTGCTGGGTTTCAAACATCACCCTTTGATACGCCCCTAGTATTGCTAATGCAGATGGGGGTTTATTTTAGCTAGTGGTATTAAAAATAGAGAGAAAGCAAAGGATAAATTTAAGCGAAAATAGTCAAAGAAAATAGTTTTTTTGCTTCAGAAGGTTTAGGCAGTGGTGAATACCAGAATATGCTTTGCTGATGCACTGATTTGTGTTTTACAGAATGGCGTGATCTCACTGATTGACTGCACTCTAATGGAGGAACCAGAGGGGACAGATGATGAGTGTGAGTCTGCAGTGGGGCATTGTTGTTGTGGGGTTAACACATACTTACACAAGACACAAGGTTAAATGGCAGCAATGGCTGCTTCAGCCCACCGACTCCACAGCTTTAGTTCTGAAGGAGTCTTAGAGGTGCGAGAGCTTTATCTCTCTGTCAGGAACACGACTTGACATATGTGCCAATTTGGTTACTCTTAACTGAGGTCTATTGTTTTCACATGCTGATTTTTATCATGATATAAGCAAAAAGTGCTGGAAAAAAAGGACTGACGCAGAAATATATTGCACTGTATTGGATAAGCCGTTTTTAGGAAAACTTTAAAATTCACTTTTATGAATAAAATGGACCCGTGTCAGCCAAGCCTCTTACTAACACTAAAGCATAACAACTTGGTTCATTCTAAAAGTGGAATTGCTCAGTCAAAATGAAAGAATAGATCATGTGCTTTTTTTTACTCTGTCATAAAGCAAAACCCGATAAGAGCGGGCAGGACATGGAGCACTTGGATTTTAAAATCGTCGTTGAGCCAAAAGACACCCAGTCCTTCACTGTCATTCTTGTGGCTTCATCTCGCCAGGAGAAGTCAGCGTGGACGAGCGACATCAGCCAGGTCAGCTGAGATCCAATACTGTGGTCTTAATAGTAGTCTGTAGAGGAATGATTCAAGCTGAGCCTGCAAGCGATTATCCCTTCTTTTTCTGTTCAGTTTACATTATACAGTTGTATCTGTGCTTTTGAATTTTTCTTTGTGTCGGATTTTCCCAGTGCATCGATAATATCCGCTGTAACGGTTTGATGATGAACGCCTTTGAAGAGAACTCGAAAGTCACAGTGCCGCAAATGATCAAGTGAGTAGCTGAAGCAGGAATGGTATCTGCTCTAGTAATAGCATAGCCGTGCAACTCTAACATTGCTCTCCAAAAGCACAGGAAGTGATCCCTGCTTTTGTCCAAGAGTTCTTCCAACAAGTAAAGGTTGTTTCCCTGCCGAAAGGAGAGACAACAGCTGTGGAGCCCTTTTCAGGTGTCACACCTTTGTGTCTCTTTTCTTTTCCTCTGGAATAAACCTTTACCTGTTCCTTTGCAGCCTACACATGCTGACACAGCTCCCTACTTGAAGATCGATCCAAGTACTCAGTTGACCTCACTAGCTGTCCATCCTGCTGCATTCCAGTCAGGATGATTAAAGCACTTTATTAAACGTGTGAGGGCCGCTGAGCTAGGATTTGGAACCTAGCATTGTGGACTTTCATGCACAAATGAGATAGAAAGTGAGTCAGTGCAGGCGAGGACAAATGGCTGGCCGATGCCATTGATAAGAAAGAAAGGGGGTGGTTAATGATGCCTCTATGCCGGATGCCAGGTCTGATGCCAGCCTGTACTGCGACGACGTGGACATCCGCTTCAGCAAGATGATGAACTCCTGCAAGGTGCTGCAGATCCGCTACGCCAGCGTGGAGAGGCTGCTGGAGCGCCTGACCGACCTGCGGTTCCTCAGCATCGACTTCCTCAACACCTTCCTGCACTCCTACCGGGTGTTCACCACAGCCGACGTGGTGCTGGACAAGCTCATCACCATCTACAAGAAGCCTATCAGTGCAATCCCAGCAAGGTACGAGCACCCCTGAACTCACCTGCGGCTGCAGGACACCTAGCAAGAAATTCTGAAGAGGGGATCAGTCGGGTTAACCCTTTTGAGAATGCTATCAAAAGAATGATGAAGCCTCTTGCAGCTGTTGTTCTACCTCGGCTCTTGGCTATAATGAAACCAGTTTATTACCACAGTGAACCAATTCAGGCTGTTTTATAGGCTTTATTAACCCGCTGAACTGGACGGCCTCCTGTGTGCTATAGCTCTTCTAGCATTGTCTGCTACTGTGTGTGTAATTATTTCAGTTTCATTGGGAAGCATTTGATGCTTTATTAACACAAGACTGCATTGCATCATGAGTCTTGACTGAAGTCAGGGCTGCAGAGCTGAGGAGAGAATGGTGTTCTAGTCATATAATAGCGTGCTGTATGTGGATTCACACCAAGATGTTGGGTGATGCTGAATTGCAGCAGTCCAAGGCTCGTGCATCTCAACGCAGATTTGCTTGCCTGCCCTGACAGCTCACTCAGAAGTAATAACAACAGCTATTAATTTTGATGCACAGCACTGTATCGCCCTGGGTGTCAGGGGCTGCGCACAGGGTGGAGCACAAACAGGAACCAGACTCAGAACACAGGCAGCAGCAGAACTGACAGACAGAGAGCCACAGGGAGGCTGTAAAACACCCCCTAATTAGGGACAGATTCCTCTCCAGTCTGACAGTGCTCCGACACCACACTACCCTGCTGCTGCCTGCCGTTGCCATGGAAACCCGCGGCTGTGCTGCAGGACCCCACCCCACTCCTTCTCCAGGCATCTGCAGAGGATCTATAGTATTAAATATTTATCGCTGCACTTTGCATCCAGACCTCGTCTGTAATCCAGCGGAGAGATAAGAAGAGACAAGGCTCTGCAGATAAAAAAAAAGAAAGGGGGTGGTGAGTGGTGTGGGGCATCCTTCACATCCACTCTCAGAGGCGCCCACTCCTTGGAAATCCAGGCAGAGGTTTGTTATGCAGACATACAGGGTATCTCCACAGGCCACCTCCATTTCATTACTGTTGGCAGCACCCTTGCCACCCTCGCTGTCACTTGATAGGCTATTTATAGACAGCTGGGAAGGTGGCCTGTGCTGTGGAGGGGAATTGCTTAAAAAACAAGTCTTGAGCAGCAGGCAGTGCAACTTTGTAAATTATACTGTACTTTGGAATGGCCCCCATGTTACAGCTTCCTATTAAATTTGCAATATGATGTAATTGTTATCTTTTATTAACAGCCTGCACAATGCACCTCTCCTAATTCCGTGTGCCTTTTTATGTGCCATCCAGTTTCTAGGACTTGATTCACATTTTGTTCTGGAGCATCATCGGTTCTGCTTCTGTCAGTGCTTTCAAACTGGAAGATTGTAGTTGAACAGCACAACTGTGAGCTGTACTGAAACGGCCAGACTCGCAGCAACTGTCTTAAGACTGGCTAGAGGTTTCCAGCTTTGGAAAGTAAACCTTAATCCGACAGAGAAATTTTCATGTGTCACAATGCACCCTTCTTCCCTGTCTTGTTTGTTTTTTTTTTTTTTTTGGTGTGCGTGGTGTCCAAGGTCTCTGGAGCTGTTTTTTGCCAGCAGTCAGAACAACAAGCTGCTGTACGGAGAGCCTCCGAAATCCCCCCGGGCCAGTCGCAAGTTTTCCTCGCCTCCCCCGCTCTCCATCACCAAATCCTCCTCTCCAAACCGCCGCCGGAAACTCTCCCTTAACATCCCCATCATCACCGGGGGCAAAGCTCTGGACCTGGCAGCCCTCAGCTGCTCCTCCAATGGCTATGCAAGCATGTACTCTTCCATGTCCCCCTTCAGCAAGACCACCCTGGACATCAACAAGCTCTACGTGTCCAGCTCCATCCCCAACAAGATCCCCGACGAGGCCGACGGCAAAACCGACAAGCCAGAGGAGTCCTCCCTGAGCAAGCAAGGTCAGTCTGCCCTGCTGCGCCCATCCCAACAGGCAGGGGAGATGGAGGCAGAATTCAGAGGCATTGCAGGGCTGGTGTTTCCTTCACAGAGCCAGAGCCGAATACAGACCTGCTCTCTTGCTGGAATCTGGGCCCATCAGGTCAATTCCAGGAGAGTTGCAAGTTTAGTTCTCCAGTGTTGGCACCTCTGTTGCGATCACAGTACAGAACTTTTGTACAGTACTTTGCTTCTTAACTGAGTTACTGAATGCAAATGGTAATAAATACATTATTTGTTGCAATGCTTAATCTAAAACTTAGCAGTGTAAAATTGAAGATTGGGCAAACACTGGGCAGGATTTCGCATACAGGCATCAAAATCCACAGATACAAAATGGGAGTCATTAAGCCAGAAACAGATGCTTCTGAAGAATACTTACTGTAGGTGTTTATGTTAACACACAGCTTAAATGCTCTAACGATATGGAGAAGCAATAAAAAAATGACATGTATGGATGTATAGTTAAAAGCACAGAATTTAAATGAATTAATGTCTTGTTAAAATGTTATAATGCACTAATATGGCCTTATTTAGAATATTGTCTACAAATTTGGTTACCACATTATGGAAAATAAATTGCTGCTGTAGAGTCAGTCCAGGAAAAAGAAACCAGATACATTCTGGGTCTTAAGGGAATGTTCTACACTGGCAGGCTGAGGGACCTGATCACTTATAGCCTTGAACAAAAAAGACTATGAGAGGACCTGATGCAAGTATTCAAAATTCTCAAAGGCATTGATGAAGTCAGGAGTATAATATATTTGGTTCTGTAACGGGAGAGTTCTTCCAGGGCCCTATGCAGATGACACGATCTGGGGTGGAGTGAGAAAACACAGGGGAAAAAGGCATGCAGGAGTTGGGAATAAAAACAGGGGGCTTGTCCAAAGTGCACAGGTGTCCAGGGGGGTGAGTCCGGGGCATACAATCCAGAAGTAGTCCAAATGGGGAATCCAAAATCGGCAAAGTCCAAAGCCGGGTGGTCCATCTAAGACTAGACAGGATAAAAACAGGAACCGGATCGGAACCGGTGGGGAACAGGAACAGAAAATAAAAACCAAAACGGAGCCAGGCACGTCCAGGTCCCGGGCTCGCACGATACGGGAATCAATGCAGAGCCCCGAACTGAGTGGGCGTCTGGCTTTTAAGGTGGGCTGGGAACAGGTTGAAACGGGGCAGGTGCACAAAATCAGGTCCAAAGTGAAAGAGCCAAAGTGCCCTTAAGGGCGAGGGACTACAATCGGGACAGGCATACTTTTTTAGAAGACAAGTGTAAACTACATGGAAATGCACTTAAAGGCCTGTACAGAAGGCACTTCTGTATGGAACAGACCCGACATTGTTGCTGAAGCTGATACCCTGGCTTCGTTCAAGAAGCAGCTGGATTGCATCAATCAGAATCAGTGCAGCTGGGAAGACCAAATGGTCTCCGTTAATCTGTAACTGTTCTTATTCCTATGTGCCATCCAAAGAATCTTTTGTATTTTATTTTAAATCACTGAATACTAAAGATACAGGCAGACCCTGGACACTTCATTCCCTGTTGGCCACTCAAACCTATAACATACTGTTTGTTAGCCTAACATTACCAATTAGAATGCATACTTCAATTTACTGTATATCTCACCAGACAGTATATAGATCCCTGCTATTTTGATTAAAAATAGTCAAATCACATTACTGGGGCAGGCAGACAGGTGGTAGGGATGATGTGGTAAATGTGTCAATATATTCAGAAAATAATTGCCTAGATTTATTCCAATTTTGCAATGCAATCCTAATTTATTTTTTATGAAGCTTGCTGTTTGAAGTGCTTATCTTTTGCTTAATTCTTCAATACTGTATATATTAGCGACGCAGTTTGGACTGAATTAGCATGCAAGTTATGGCTTCCGAATGTCCATCAAGGTAAAAGATCGGACCAGAACGAGACCTGAGAGAGCTGGTGGTCACCTGTCAAGTGTACTCAGTGCCAGTGGCTCTGGAGTCCCAGAAGTCACTCTGAGTCTTTTTCAGACACCTCTGTGAGGGAGGAGTGTGACACTGACCAAACCCAAAGTGACGAGGCAGAAACGGAGACATCGCCAACGAAGTCCCCAACTACCCCAAAAAATGTTAAATGCAAAAATTCCCCAGGTATGCTGTATCAAGATAGCATGTCTTGCATGTTTGCCTGTTGCATAGGGAAAGTGTGCTTTCTGAGATAATATTCACGGTGGTAAGTGTTGTTGTCTAAATGAACCAGGTGCATGGACTGAAGTTCAAATTGCAGTCTTTCTGTCATAATCAACTGTATGAAAGACCCAAGGTTCTGAGCCTTAAAAATAAATACTTCAGTTAAATACTAGGGTTTTGTCCTGTACTGTATAATCCTTGTTTTTAGATTCCTTTTCATTCATCTAAGAAAGATTTTAGTTTTTCAACAGCCTCTAATACTGCACTTGTAAATAGGCACACTTGAGGTGCATTACATAATAATTAGTCAATTGGTTAAAGGGAAGGAATTACACTTTGCCACATGGTGGTAACTGAGTCTGTTTGGGATATGGGGGTTTCACAAGGCACTGTGAGTTTTTGAACAGCAAAACCTGTTTATACTGTAGCTGTGAAGATTATGCTACAGTAAAGATTTTAATAATAAGGACACAGCTTAAATAAGAGCCACCTTATTTTGGTTGGAGCCTGTCACTCCCATTTAAACTGTAGGAAGCATTTTAGACAGGGAACTCCAAAGCCATGTGTGTGTAGGTGGAAAAATGGAACTTGTGCCTTAGCAACCATCTGCTAGCTTAGCAACCACCCCAGCAGCAGGTGTGCCATAGAGCTGTGTCTGGGTGCTACTATGAGACACTGCTGACAGTTCACAGGGTGTCGAAAGACAAAGTTCAAAACAGAGCCCCAGAACATATGGTCATTTTTGCTGTGTTACTTACAGCATGACTTTGCTTCAGTTTTTCATTCCATTTCCCGACATATTGAAGAAGTATGTTCCAGTGTCTAATTCAGTTCCTTTCTATTGCTTTTATTCAGCATTTCTACGCTGTGCAAAGGGTTTAGTGGGTAATAACATAACCAGTCCCTCCTTCTTCTTCTATTTCGGATCGCTAGTGGTTACTGTACAGAAGGATGAAAGCAGAAAATAGTTCCAACAGCATTTGAAGATACATTTAGGCACAGGCTAGATTTGAAGTTTAATTTAAAGTGTGTAGTAATGTTTTTTAGCATCAAGGAACCGTTTTCAGAAAGATTCAAAACGGGCAACACAGGTGTTTTACTGTCATTAAAGGTTAAAAATAAGGAATTAATTTAACACTTAATAACAGGAGTACATCTTTAGGGTATAAGGAAAATCATCACATTATATGAATCGAAATTGGAATCATTTGTTGGCTATACCTTGCTGTCATGGCTCATTGATACGATAAGACCACTGTGGTGTCCTCACGCTCTCTGAGAGGTTGAGCAGAAGCAGTCTGGGAAGATGAAAGATTGTACTGTGCAATCTGATCATGAAAATAGGTTTATTCAAAATACACGTTGTCAAATACAGCAACCTCTGTTTTTTAAAACTCTTATTTTGTCAAACTCACCAATGCCCATTGCAAGCATTGGTGCTCTGGAGGAGTAAGAGTTGCAGTTGTAATGGGCTCTGCTGCCCTCACCTGGTCAAAAAAAACACACACGAGCTGGGCTCTGATTCTATCACAGCCGCAACAACTACAGAGCTCTGGTTCAGCTTGCAGGGAATCTATGATGAAATGTGCTCCATAGAAAGCAGCAAAGGACTTTGTAATGGGAGAAACTGCTCGCCTTGTCCTGTTAATGCTGATTCAAAACGGTCCCTCTGAGACTGTCAAGTGGCTCAACAAGTAAAGACATTGTGTCTGAGAGCAGGTTGGGCTCTATAGCTCTGGTACCATGAGTCTGTGTGTGGATCCTAGCTAACCTCTAGCTGGCCTTGACAGGAACCCTCTCTCCCTCTCCCTAGACTTTTCCTTGTTCTCCTACAACAACGGCGTGGTGGTGATGTCTTGCCGGGAGATTGACAATAACCGCAGCGCGCTATCAGCTGCTTCTGCCTTCGCCATTGCCACTGCTGGCGCCAACGAGGGCACGCCCACCAAGGAGAAGTACAGACGCATGTCCCTGGCCAGCACAGGTCAGTCAGCTGGCAGTGTTTCCAAGATCTGTTGGGTGAATAAGTCAGGTTTGATTAGTTAACGTAACATCACAGGTTGGAGTTACTTAGAGGTAGGGTAAGACTTTGGGTAGTTGAGAGATGGAATACCTATGTATTTTCAAATGTAGCCAGCTATGAACCACCAAAGATACTGCTAGCACAAGTTATAAGATTTTAGTCCCTGACCACTTGTAAATGTTTTTTGTCCCACATTTTTAATACCCAAAGGCATAGCAGGTTTTAAAGGCCCAGAGTCTTGAAACACAGCAAGGTTTGTTCTGATGGTAAGCAGCTTGTTGTGATATGCTTGTTGAAATATGCTTTTTGTGCTGTTGGATTCCGGCATTTGTAATACGTGTCTGTCTGCTGGCTTCAGGGTTTCCTACGGACCAGAGGAATGGAGACAAGGAGTTTGTTATCCGAAGGGCCGCAACCAACCGTGTTCTGAATGTGTTGAGACACTGGGTGTCCAAACACTCACAGGTACACCCTGCTGAAAAACGAGAAACAGGCCAGAACCCTTTTCAATGTCTGCAACACCAGATACCATAGGAGGTTACATATGTTAGTGCAGATTATATTGTAATAGACTAATTTTTGTAGACTAGAATTGGGCATTTTTGCCACAGAGCTTTCTGGATTAAACAATAAACAAATCTTCTGACCAGCAGTAGCAGGATAAAAGTAATGAGAGAAGGCATGAGATCACCCAAGAACATCTAGATTATTTTCAGATCCAATAATGGATCTTATAAATCTAAGAAACAAAACGATAAACTGTGCTGTTAAGGTAAAATGTGTAGAATTAAGAAAGACAGGAGAGAGTAATTTGAGTGTGATACCAATGCTGTCGGCATCCAGAATCGGATCACCACCTGGCAATAAATTGACAATAAATCAATGTCTATCTATCTCTACCCTCCAGTCAATAAAACCACATGGGTGGTGCCATGTTTCAATGGCCCACATGGTGTAACTGGATTCAGAGCATTATTATCACTAACTTTAATATAAACTCCAGCTCTGGTCTCTGTACATGTTAGGACTTTGAGGCCAACACTGATCTGAAGCAGAAGGTGATCAGTTTCCTGGAGGAAGTGATTCATGACCCTGAGCTGCTGACCCAGGAGAGGAAAGCCGCAGCCAACATCATCAGGTACAGCAGCAAGCTCTTTCAGTGTACCCTGTTCTCCAATATTCAACAGCTAGATCAAACACATTGAAACCACCTCTATGAATTTGATAACTTTGATCATCCTGTCTAATCTTAAAGTATCCAGTGGACCTGTATACAAATCGTCAAAACATTCAGACATCTGTGAAAACATTGATTAAGAAATGGCTTGAAGATGTGAATTTACATCCTTTAAGTTTTTTTTTATTAGCAATGCAATTAGAATATAAACTGAGAAGAGAAAGAAACAAAACACAAACAAAGATCAATACATGGATAAACAGATGGCTCAATAGATAGATACGTAGCTCACAAGGACACCTTTGAACATTTGAGTGTCTTTTTTGCAGGGTAAGCAGTTGTTATGAATTGTAGGAATGTGAATATTGGGATAATAATGTGAATTGTGGGAACATTAAATGGCTCCAGAAATTTTGATCTGATACTTGCAAAGTGGAATTTCAGACTCTAGTCTTGTGAAAATGTCAGAGGTTGTTAGTATGGGAATATGAATATTGGGATAATAATGTGAATTTGAATGTGAGGTTGTTGATATGGGAATGTGGATGACCGATGGGCAGGCCAATAATCAGGCCATTGGAAGTTTGTTCAGATCGATGGATTAAAAACTCCTGAAAGATGTTTTTCACTGCAGAACTCTGACCCAGGATGACCCAGGGGACAATCAGATCACGCTGGAAGAGGTGATACAGATGGTGAGTGTGACTGGGTGTGGCATCACATGGGGGCATGCGCATTGTGGAGGCGGAGCCCAGGTAGACGGGCGACGCCTCGCCTTTGTAGTTCCAGCTGCCCCAGCTTCTAGATGATGAGCCACAGCTGGGCCGGTCCTAGAAAGACACACTGGACACCCCCCAATGGGACGAGCAGGGACACCCCCGGAAGGGGGATTTTGACACCGACAGTCCGGGGCTGCACCCGCATAAAGTGTTCTTTTGCTGTTCTTTTTCTTTCTTTGCCTGACCCACAGTGCAGTAGTACCCCCAGGACAGGCAAGTTTTTATTTTATTTTTAGCCTTACGTGCCCCGCTCTACCAGACTGAACCCGCGAAAGAGGCTCCGTCCAGTCTGGTCTGGTGTGCTAGCAGTTCTTTTTTTTTCCTAGGCTGGACCCCGTTAAATAGGGTAAGCCCAGCCTGGAGATCACGAGGCACAGCGCCACACTTTCCTTTTGCCTTTTTGTTTATTTTTCACTCTTTTTGTGTTATTTTCGGTCCCTGCTAGCCTCACACCGGTGCTTCTGTCCCCTCACCCAGTGCACCCACTCCGCACTGTCACAGGGGCTGGGTGGGTATGTGGGGAGTGGGAGGTTGCAAAAGCTGTTGTGGGGTAAGCAGGGAGTTTTGCTATCACTGTTATTACTTGAACAGTCACCACAATATCTTCCATCGCCATTAGTTTTTTCATCCCAGCAGTTATGAAGCATTTTTATTATCATAACTAATTTCATTTTAATTATCACGTCATTCTTACATGAGCATTCCACAATTCTTACTGAAAGTTTAAAGACTGCGAAAATTCAGGAATCGTAGGAGGGTTCATTTTCCATTTAAAAATGGGGCCTTTTTTTAAAAATGAAGATCATTTCAAAACCATCTGACATTTAGGGGGGATTGTGAAAGGTTAGGTCTATCATATACAGCCCCTCTGCTGTAGGAGGCGGGCTGTGAGACTGCAGCTGACTGTGTTTTACTGCTGGGTGTTTCCAACAGGCTGAGGGAGGGAAGCCTGAGCCCTTTGAGAGCCACTCTGCCCTGGAGGTCGCGGAGCAGCTCACTCTACTGGACCACCTGGTGTTCAAGATGATCCCCTATGAGTGAGCAAACAGGGGGGGGGGGGCAAGGCGTTATAGCTGATGGGGTGCCTTCAAGTGCAAACGCTCTACTTAAACAAGCCTTTAACCCCAACTCATCACAGCTCTCCAGACGCCTCAGCCAACCAGTCCCCTCAAAGACACCGGGGCTCTGTTACAGGGAGACTGTTATATCTCTTATATAGGACAGCAATGGCCGGTGGTAAAGTGGGTGTTTATTAAAAAGACCCATCTGGACGTTGAAGTTAATTATTTTGTTTTTTCATGTGGTGTTGGTGTTGGTGTGGTGCTCTTCCTCTGGCCCAGGCTTTCCGAACCAAGGCCCCAGTATGTTGACAGGGGACGATAGGTTGTAGGAGGTGCTGTCCTTCATTTGGGAAATTAAGCTGAGGTCCTGACTACTTGGTCATTAATGAGCCTATGGCAGTGTTTGTAGGTTAAGAGGTGTTAACCCTAGTGTCCTAGCTAAAATCCTCTATAGGCTGGCATAATCGTGTTTTCTTTACGTTCCCCGTCATTGTGCCTGGTGAAGCAGTTAGTGATTTCACTGTCTGATCAGCTGTACAGGAGGTGGATAATCTCCTACGTTATGTAAAGCTTTGGAATGGGTAACGTTTGTAAATAGCTTTGGCATTCTGTGGGATGGAAGGGGTATATAAATGCAAAGTTTTTTTTATTATTGTTCTTTTTCTGTGAAATACAGTATGTTGGCAAAATTAACTTTCCACAGAAGCTGTTACTAGCTGTCTGGCCATGTTCATGGTATAGGGGCTGATGCATAGGCTCATACTGTATATACAATTAGCTGATATTTCTACAACAGGCATGGGTCTCTTGTGTAAAAAATAAGAATTTTCTTTAGGGGTGCTTATTTTAATATGACCGAAGCCTGGAGGTATAATTTCCTATGACAGAGAAAAACCCAAAATAATTTAAAATGTCATTGGAAAAACAGGGTACAGTGTTAAGTACAGTTACAGTTTAGCTGTGTACTGTTTAGGTAGAATATGTTTTATTCCATTTGCTTGTTTGGGAGAAATGGTATAATTTAATGAAAGACTCCAGAAAATAAGTATCTTCTGTTTTAGTGTGTGGGGGGAATCATAGATGCAGTCCAAAGAGTATGTTGCATTCCTCATTCAGTCAGACTGTAGTAGTATCACAGATCCTTTTGATAAGAGTCAATACAATGATCCAGCTTTGTTGTATTCATCCCATCCGATTTTACAGGTTTTAATTCTTGTGTGTAATACAGGGAGTTCTTTGGGCAAGGTTGGATGAAACCAGACAAAAATGAGAGGACTCCATATATCATGAAAACAACCAAACACTTCAATGATGTAAGTATTGATGAATTCCCTTTAACAAAAGGATAAATAATATACCTCTGTAGCTACAGTACAAAGTATGTGGCAGAGGTTAACCATGTGTGTTATCCTGTGTATCTGACCACATCTGAGGTAGATATAATTTGGTGGTTCAGGCCTTTTCAGGCAACACAATATCAAAAAAGCAATTGATTTCACTTTTGCTTCTACTGAAAAGTACAGTATAAAAGAACGAATTGAGCAAGTCAGTTGTTCCATCTCAGTGAGTCCTAATTCAGTGGAGTATCACTTCAAGGCAGGTACAGTACTAGATCCTCACAAGAGCTTTACAAGGACAGATTTCACAGGACACGGCTACAGCGGTTTGCCCCATATCTGCAAGGAGAGCCAGAGAGAACAGCCCGCTCTGACTTGTCTCCCCCTTTCCCACGTTCCCACGTTCATCCCTCTTTGTGCTGCTCTCCTTAAAAGATCAGCAACCTGATCGCTTCGGAGATCCTGCGCTCCGAGGACGTGAACATGCGGGTGGCCGTGATCGAGAAGTGGGTGGCCGTGGCTGATATCTGCCGCTGTCTCCACAACTACAACGCTGTGCTGGAGGTCACCTCCTCGCTCAATCGCAGCTCCATCTTCCGCCTCAAGAAGACCTGGCTCAAGGTCTCCAAGCAGGTAGGGGCACCCGATGTGCTGGAGTCCCAGCCTTTTACTCAGCGTGCTGCTGAGCTAAGTAAAGTACATTGTGACCCATGCAGATGCGGTGAGTACAAAGACATACTGTAGACCAGCACCCCTGGAAAAAGAGATTTTTCATACCTCTCTGACATGAAAGGCAATCATTTAATTTCTCTGGCTGTAACAGTGATAGTTTTGTGTTGTACAGTATGTAGAACTTCAAAAGAACAGTATAAGTCTCTTGCAACAAATTCAGTAAGTTATGACTGAAAAATGATTATCTTTTTTTGTAGCAGGTGCACTGACATTTTATTAAACTGGTGTGACACAGGTACACTCATTCTGCTGTTTCTCTACTGTGAAGGCTGGGAGAGTGGGCAAGGGGAATTCTTTAATACTCTTGCTAATTTCAAATTGGCCCTCCCTGTAGATCTTGGTAAGGTGCTTTGTCTTCTGACTTCCCAGATCAAGGTTGGGTTATTGTCAGACTACGTATATCTGTGATATCTTTCTAGGTTACTGGGTTTTCCTTCTTGATTTTTACCAGCTTGAGATTCAGCAGGTTAAATGGCCTTGTCACCTGTGTCCAGTCATCTCTCTTACTAATGCTTATTTAGTAGTCATAAAACAAAGTCACTCAAGTGTCTCATGCTCAGTCCTGAATCATGTACCTGTATATATTTTTGTAATGCATTAAAATCAAACAAAATGAAGCCCAAAACTTCATAGGTGGTGCGGTGGCTCTGTGGCTAAGAATCTGCGCCTGTGGCTGGAAGATCGCTGGTTTGTATCCCGTGGCCAGCAGTGGAATCCTACTCCGTTGTGCCACTGAGCAAGGCCCTTAACCCCAACTGCTCCAGGGGTGCCATATACAGTCAATGGCTGACCCTGCATTCTGACCCCAAGCTTCTCTCTCCCTGTCTGTGTGCCTGCGTGTTTTAGGGAGAGCAAGTTGGGGTATGCGAAAAGACAATTTCCTAATGCAAGAAATTGTAGATGGCCAAGTGATCTTATCTTCAGAATATGCCTACCTTGTTTATCCAAAAACATGTATTAGCAGAGTCCATATTTCTTTTGCAGCTCAGTATATTTCCATATTTCGACACATTTACCATGCTTATACCACACATTTACCTTACATGGCTTCGTCTGGATTTTATTGTGACTTAACATGTTAACAGTGCTTTATTATACTCTATTTTAATACAGTTTTGCTATGCCGTGCTACTGATTTTATTCATGAAGGACTGCCTTATATCTGCTTAACAGCTAAAAATCTAAGCATCTGTGCTGGAAAGAGTCGCACATGCATGTGACATAATAATACACTTTATAGAAAATTATTTAGTTATTGCATAACATCCCAACCAAAGTGTTCTGTGACCCCTTTTTTTTCTGTGATGAAACTTAATTTCTAAATAAACATAAATTACTTTAGAAAGAGAAAAATCATGCAAGTCGCTGCCTTTATACCTTCAAGCTCTCTAGCCCATGTAAAAAACAGGTGTCCTTATAATCATAGCATTCACTAAGAAGGAGGGGAGTCCTGTCAGGTTTGTCCCTTCCTTTACTGTGGAGTGCTACCAAAACTAAAAGAAGGTCTGTCTTCTCTCTTGTAGACCAAGGCTCTGACCGACAAACTGCAGAAGCTGGTTTCATCCGAGGGCAGGTTTAAAAACCTCAGGGAGGCTTTGAAGAAGTAAGTGTTTCATTGACCTCTAACCAGACAAACACAACTCTAATGTCTCCCTGAGTTCTTTGCTTTGCCATCCAAAACTTAATTTCCAAGCTATGTGCCAGAGTGGTACAGAGACCAGATAGAACTGGCCAAATGTTTGACCTTCCTTTGCCCTGAGCCATTACTTAAAGAATCCAAGAAACCCAGCTGGAGGAGTGGCAAAAATGTGCTGTGTGTCAATAGAGTTTAAAGGAAAACATTGAAATATTTTACATAAATAGTGAAGAACGTTATCAAGTCATTTTCTTAAAGGACCCCACAGAATCAACTTTAATAATTTCAATAAGCACTACTAGCATGTTCACTGCCTGGGGTAATATTGAAGACTTGGCAGTGTATCTATACATTATGTAATAAACAGAATCTCTGTGATTCATTGTAAATGTCTGTGTTATCTCAATGCATCAATGCATTGCAAAATGCATCACAGGAGCATTTTAGATTAAGCATGCTACAGAAAAGATTCCATCTTCGTCTCATCAGGATCCCCAACTGTGGATGGTTGTACTGTATCTGATCTGCTCTGCCTCTCTGCTCTCTGTGTTTCAGCTGTGACCCTCCCTGTGTTCCTTACCTGGGCATGTATCTCACAGACCTAGCCTTCATCGAGGAAGGGACTCCCAACTACACTGAGGACAACTTGGTCAACTTCTCTAAGATGAGGATGGTAAATGTGTTCCATATACCACCCATTCCAGGTTTATTTAGCAAAACCATTTTCCCTCAGATGAAAATACTTTGGAAAATGTAGTGTTGATAACCTACTACTGTGACAAATTTTATTGATGTCATTTATCTACAGTACCTCACAGCATGCCAGTATGTGTTCACAGTCAGTACAGTCTATGCTTCTTAGAGCACCTCTTGACCACAAATTGAAAGTCAAAGTCTCCAGTAAAACTTATTTTATATTTGCCAGTAGGATGTTTTGTTCTGGTAAGTGAATATGTTTGATCATTTAGGTGCAGGCAAAGTTGACTCAAAATCCAGATAACAAACTGAGAGGTCTTGCGCAGTCATAGCTGCACATTCCATTGGCTTTATTCTATGTGTTGGCTCAGTGTTGGAGAATGCAAATAATTAACAGTAATAGAAAGGTTTGAAGATGTGCCAGTTGAGAGGCACTCTCTCAGTTGCACTGCTTTATAAATGCATACTGCAGAGTGTTGAAAACTAAAAAGATCCTCACCCTCACCCCACCCACCATCTCCCTCTTAACCTTGATTTTAAGATAAGATCTTCCTTTGTCCCCAGATTTCCCATATCATTAGAGAAATCAGACAGTTCCAACAAACAGCCTACAAAATTGATCACCAGCCTAAGGTAAGCATTTTTTAAGCATGTGACAAAATGCAGTGAGCTTTTGCATTTGTGGATGTTAATGCTACAGCTGCAAAGTAATTTTGTTCTGAATCATGACAGTATCTTACTCTGATTTATTAGTTATCTAAGATTTTTCTGTCCCAATGTGCTTTTTGTGAGTCATCTTAAGGACCTGAGAAAAGTTACAAACCAAAGGAAACTCTTTCTTTGGCTGCTAGCAGCATAATGAAAGAATCCCATCAATCTAATTTATTAAAAGACTTTATACCACAAGCAAAGTAAAGAAAGTGCTTCCTATTTTCTGTCTCAAATCTTCCCAAACTGATCTTCCACATCTGATTTTAAATAGTTGTGTATGTGCTGATCTTGATGATCTCCCTCGCTTTGGCTCAGTCGGCACCTTTTAGGACTTTTTCATAACTGCATTACATCTTATATATAATCTTCCTTCTTCACAATTGTCACTGATTGCTTAGAGGTGTAGTTGCTTTCCTTTATATTGCCTTAGAAAAGCCATGTGAGTGAATATCGTAATTTATTTATATCCTGTTATGCTACTTCTTTAGGTGACACAGTACTTACTGGACAATAGCTTCGTTCTGGATGAAGAAAGCCTGTATGAAGCCTCTCTCAGAATAGAGCCAAAAATACCAGCCTGAAGAGGAACATGAGGCCCACAGACTGTACAAATACTATATTATATGTACATAGGCTATTATTTGTATTAGATAACCTTAGACATATCCTTCTAGTATGTGTTGCTGAAAGGAACAGTGTATCCTTGTTATTAGAAGTTAACTAGAAGCCTAATGAGAATTTATATGTAAAGATAAAAGTTTTTCGGGGGGAGGGAATATATTTAGAAGCTTATTTGTTATTTATTGTTGTTTTTTTGTCTGCATTTGATCATACAATCCAGTTATTTTCTACAACAATAAAAAGGAAGATTAAAGGAAACAAATGACAGCAGTTATTACTGGGTACCCAGCTGTGCATTGTTAAATCTTACTGATGGGTGGCATGTGTAAAGGTGTATTTTAATACTATACCATTAAAAAATATTTCAAAATTATTTTTAAATCAAGTTCTTTATATAGAGTCAAATCCTGCACTTCCAGTAAGATTCAATAAGAGCAGATAAATACTTATTTAGGGGAGAAACATTTACTTATTTTCATTATTAGCTAGTGCAAAAATATGTAGCAATGTAAAAAATAGGAATCAAATATTAATATAAAACTATAACTAATATACTATATATATTATAACTAACACATAAATGTGGTAGTCTAAACCATGAAGCTTTGTTAATCTAATATGGGGACAGGACAGTCAAGTTTCCCATAAAACAAAAACATTGTTTAGTTTTGTTTGCTTTTTAGTGCTGATTAATGTTTAAAGCCAGCATCAATGATAAAAAAACAATGTTTTATTTGTATTGCTTGAGCCAGATCTGTCTCAGCTGGCCGTGATTACACATTGCAGGATCTCTATTTAGTAGTAAATTGATGGCTTTGGCAGCAGTACCCATTCTTAAATATCAGATTTCCCCTTTGTTCTAGATAGGTAATATGACAGACATCACACGTGAGTAGTCAGAATCTTGTTAATTGCAGATATACTGTATTATTTCCAGGTGCTCCTTTGACAATGGCTTTGGGCATTTATATTTTGTTTCAGAACAGGGGTCCCAGATCCTGGAAGCCCACACACCTGCTGGTTTTTATTTCAGTCCACCTTCGTTACCTAATTTAAGCCTTAGTTGAATTATCACATTTGACATTCAAGATCTCGTGTTACTTGTGAAAAACAATAGTTAAAATGCAACTTCCAACATGTTGAAGAGCTGAAATCAGTCAAACAGTTCAAATTAATCCTATTATTAAGTCAATTAAGGGTTGATTGGGTAACTGAGAGCTGGGCTGCAACAGAAACCAGATGGTACTGTATGTAGTTCTGGTTCTGGGAACAGAATTGGGAAGCCATGTTCTACAACACAGGCAGTTGACCCTTCAAGCTGTCCAGTCCTTCTTACTGGAGAGAATAGATCATCACTGAATTACCTGTCATTATAGAACTAAGTAGTAATCCATTTAATTGCTTAGAAAGCTATTGAACTCTGATATATGGCAGTAATAGGTATTACTTAAGTTAAAGTTATAAAGTTACAAAGTTATCTGAAGGAAAAAAGGAACAGTAAAAAGACAAATTATAAGGTTTGCTAATTCAAGTTGTTTGAATAATGTTTTTATTGCCATGTGTAAGGCAATTTCTGCAGTCCCTGGGATTGAAGGAGGTCTTTGCTTAAGCCTTCAGAATTATTCTGTGAGATATAAACAAGTTTTCACTCAAACCAATCCAGTACAATCCAGTATTATTCTCTTATGTTCGTGTTCTTGTTGTTGTTGATATTGTGAGTGTTGGTCACCATAATCTTTGGAGAACCTTCCTATGATCTTCCTATGATGATGTGTGAGCTGGAATAAGGGGCTCCAATCCTAAAAGGCAAATTTTACAAATACATTTGGAAAAAAACTATTTTAAATGAATTTAATTAAATTAACATAAGAAAATATGGGAATAGTGGATAAAGATGCAGTATTTCTTGTTTTGGCAATAAAATCGACAGAAATAACATATTTTCTACAAGGATCTTTGTATTCTGAGGGCAGAGTGAAAAAGGTGTAGTGTATATTTCTGGAGTTCAGTCCTCATTGTTAAGAAGCCCCTTGTTTTCTTTCAGAGATGATTTTGAGACAAGATGGCCAAATACTAAAGAGCACAGAGTGTGGTAACACTTGATTCTTGTCTCACACCCTGAAACTGTCAGCAAAGTAACTTACAGGTTACAGAACTGTCTTGTGCTCTGCCTTTCAAATGAGACTTGAGACTGGAGTCCCATTGTCAAAGACTCTGCAGCAGTACTTTGTAATCACATGCAGTGGCTAAGTGGACTTAGACAAACGTGTGTGCTAAATAAATTATATTATTGTTCTACACTGCAATGGACTGGTGTACCATTCAAGAGGTCTTCTTTCCTGCATCTGTTGTCTGCCAGGGTATGTTATCATGACCCTACACTGAACTAAGCAGTTATAGATGATGAGTGGATTATTATTGTAGATTGCACTGAGAAGATATGATAATAAATCAACATTAGAATATACGTTAAAGGAAAAGTGCTGCAGTTGATATGAAGAAAAATAACGTGAATTAATAATACTGTATATTTTAATGAACACCTCTTTTCTTCCTAACTGTAGAACATTATCATTGTCATATGGATTATTGTACAGTATAAAGAAAATGTATATGCTTTTCAGCTTGCAGCATTTTAAAACGTAATTTTGTAATAGAGCTTAAAGCAAAAGTCTTGGAAAAACTGAAGGGATACTGCATCTTTGAGTATTTTTTGTAGAATCTTTCCAGTTCACTTAAAGGAATCGTATGCTGTATATTTTCTACATACAGCACTATATATTTCTTAATGTGTACCAGTGTGAAGCACACTTCTTTACAACATTACATGCTGAAGACAAGCTTAGTTAAATAAAAATGCTAAAGAATTTGTGATTAAGTACCACAATGTAGACGTAGAGGACAACTTTCAAGTGTTTTACATATACTGTAATCCTGTCTATAACAAACTTTTTTAGCAGGAATATAGTAATGTAGTGCTTATTCTGTGAATATTTGTATGTATTTTTACAATGTACAGTACAGATACAATACAGCTAACACTCCAGTGGCAGGCATGCTTCACTATATCTACCAGAGGTTTAAAGAAAAAGAAATAATCTAATTATATATAAGAGAACAAAGACAAACGTTTTGCTGTGAGCAATATCCAGTGGTATGAGAATTATCTTTCAATCCTTAAAACTTATTTCCACTTACAGCTCGCAAAATATTTCCAGTTTTGTATAAAAATGTATGTTTCCTGATTACCTCTTGCTAATAAATCTACTTTATCTCAGGGGGAAAGTTGTCTTTGTGAGTGTTTTATTTTGCATTTCTCTCCCATCGCAGAACCTTTTGATAAGAGGAAGCCAAGGAAATATGAGTCATCCTTGCTAGATTGTTCGACATATCTCAAGCTTTCATTGTCTAGCGGTTTCCTGCAAAGTTTTCATTCCAGAATTATGGATTGCACTGTTGCTGAAACCTTTTTCTCATTGTAGCCTTTTGTCCATTCTAAGTTGTGAAATACTTTTGCCTGTCATAAGCCTTATGAGTTTGGATGGATACAAAGGTGAATTGTGCGAGTGCAAAAACGCTGATTTCAAAGAGATTTGAGTTTGATGTTGAGGAACTGGGTGGAATTTGAAAATCTGGATCTAACACACACACACAAATCCCTCAAATCCACTGGAACTCTAACACTGAGACACTTTGTTCTAAATTCCATAAATCTGTACAATATATAGTAACTATATACTGAGAGCTTGTCAGATAATTATTTGTTGTTCTTTGGTAACCTGCACATGAGGCTGGAAGGATGGAGAGAAACCTATTGCACCTCTGAAATTAATGTTCACAATTTGACTGTCATGTTCCACAATATAACATTTTGATTGCAACACTAATGATGGACATGATTAATATAATAATAAGCGTTTCAAGCAAAAACTTGTTCTTTACAGAAGGAAATGTATATCTGATGAAGTATCATGGAGTTACTGATACTGCTGTAATACTGTTGTACTGTACCTCCTCTTTCAGACCTGTCAACTGCTGGCAGAAATAATAAAGTGACTGTGCTTACTTTTCCTATGTAAGTGGTTCTTACTGCAGTGAACTGTACAAATACATATTTATATATCTTAAGATATTAATATTTATAAATATATATTTATGGCAATGCTATGCCTTGCAATGGATCTTCTCCAGGTGATACAGTTAGGGTAATACTTATTTTTATATTGAACAACTACTGATCTTAGACTGCTCTAAGTAAAAGTAAAGATGTAAATCATGAGATCCCCCCCCACACACACACATACACATTTAAAAACACAACAGGCTTACATAAAACACTGCACAGAAGAAAAAAAAACAACTGTTCCACATTACCCAGGCATAAGAAGATAAGAAAGCTTATAAACAAGAGGAGGCCTTCTACTGTATCTCATTCAGGAGTTGTGAAATAGTTTATCCAGCCAAGAGCTGAAGTTCACTTCAACAACATGGCTGTGCAGCTTTTTCCACACTCCCACAACCTTCTGACCAAAGAAATGTCTCAAATGCTCTTCCATGCAGCTTCCACTTGTGTGAAAACACTTTGAACTGCTTTGTGTTTCACTGTTCATTCTGAAGAAATACCATGTGTTGACTTGAAAACTTGTAATCCCCTCAAAGCGAGGTGATGATTTAGCCGCATATACAGTACCAGAACAAAGTACTTTGCAATCTACTTTAGTGACAGTAAACAATACGTAAGGGTCCTGTATAGTGGATATGCTTAAAGATCAATAAAGCATAGAATTTATTATTTGTTACAGAACAGGATTTGTAATAAATTTGTACACGATTCCGTCAGTAGTTAAGGTGGCTTTAATTCTGTTGGTTTAATCCTGTTGTGTTAATCATGGTGTGTGGGAGAGAAATACATTGTTTCACAAGGAAATGAAATGGTTTTTAGCTGACTGTTTACGTTCCAGGAACTACAGTGAGACATCGTGCATCACGTGATGCACCCTGAGATAAAATGACACTTTGTAGTCTTGCGAGAAACAGAACGGACCATGGCGTTCCTCAGCGTCGCTTTGTTGATCCTAGTAGGACTACACACCGCTAGCCTTTCCCCGCTGGTGTCCACAGAAGGTAAGCTATACAGTAAATCATATTAAATATCCTAGCGTGGACTGCCTTGCTACAGAAAGACCTGTCGCAGTTCCCAATTGTCCCCGTACACATCTAGACACAGTCAGATACCGGGCAATGTGACGCATAGTACCATAAAAAAAAAGAAATCGATGTTTCTTAATTAATTTTGATTACGTTATGAAAGCTGATCCTTGTCACACGAATACTGTACACTAATGAAATAACAGATTGCTGGTGTGCTTACAGTATAATCTTAAGGTGCAGCCGGTACTCCTCAGCTTTGACATGAATACCTATACAGTTATACCCTAGCTTCAGCTACAGTATAGCTAATTTTGATAATGGTAACGACACAGATTTTCAGTACTCCCATTGCCTTCGTTAGAACGTCGTTTTCATAACCATCATTATTTATCTTGCAGAGCAATTTCAGTTCAAGTTCTGGATGTCGCAGGTAATACAGTATATTACTTAATCGTCTGTACATACTGTTAAGGCCAGAAAAACCGGGGGCTTTCCGCGGCGAAAAAGCACCAGTCGTCTTCTGTGTCGGATGTCATCGTTAAACCGGTTTTACTGTACGGGAAAATGAGAATGCAGAAAATGTACAATACATTTGAAACAGAAACGAGAATGAGCCACAACTGAATTTGATGGGAAGATACATACAGTACTGTACCAAAGATGCCTGAATAAAAAAATGTTGTGAATGTGATTCTGAGGTACCTGTGAAAGTCATAAAATCTATTTAGTGGATTTACTTAAACAATGGTATTGATACAGGTCATTTGATAGAGACAATGGAGTGTGCGTGTTTTGTAAAATACAATGAATGAAAATGGAAATTTTCACTCTCTTGGCTGAATCCTCTTAGCTTATCTTATTCCTTTTAATTGTACATACTTTATTAGAAAATACAAAACAAATGTTAACATTGACTGCAAGAAAACATTGTTCTTTAAGACCATTTTTTTTATTTTCCTCTGTCTTCTGCAGTTCAACAAGCAGTACGAATTGGAGGAGTACTACCACAGGCTGCAGATTTTCACTGAGAATAAGAGAAAGATAGATCATCACAATGCAGGGAACCACAAATTTAGAAGTAGGGAACCACAGCTTACATAATCATTTTTTTTCTCTTTGTCATTATTTAGGATCTAATGAATCTAATGATAAACTTATCTTTTTCAGTGGGTCTTAATCAGTTTTCTGACATGACTTTTTCTGAATTCAGGAAATCCTTTCTTCTGACAGAGCCCCAGGTACAGTACTGTATTGCACATGTAAAACTGTCCGGTTAGTTGCCCTTGTCTGCCCAGAAGATCACAGAACTGTATCAGAAAGATGAAATCTAATGTTTCAGAGCCACATTCACTGTTGCAGGGCTTGGCAACAGTACTACACCATATTTCATCAACCTCAGTGCACAGCTCGGTCCTAGTCGTGTGTGCAAAAAAAATCAGATCCTGATTTTAAAGTGACATATTAGTCCCAGTGGAACTGTACTTAATTATTTATGTTCATCCAGTCATTTTCAGAAAGCCATCTTCCTGGTGAGGGTTTTTCTAAGGTTATAACTAATTTTTCTTAATGCCTTAACACAACCCATGAATATCATGTGCAGTACTTGATACATGGTACACAGACTTCTGTGGTTTGTGTGCTATCTTATATGAATAGCATGCTGTTCTGTATCACAGCTGCTCTATTGTTTTGTATTATAAACACTGATGATTACCTAATGAATGGAGGAACTTTCCTTTTTCAGAACTGCTCTGCCACTAAAGGGAACCATCTCAGCAGCCGTGGGCCATACCCAGATTCTGTAGATTGGAGAAAGAAAGGGGACTTTGTAACACCTGTTAAGAATCAGGTACAGTACAGCTGCTCACAGATCACACACAGGGAGTGGGGTGCCTCTAGGATGTGCAGACACAATTGACAGAGCCCTGCAAAATTACATCAGGTGCACAAAAGATAGCATTTCACCAGAAACCAAGAGATAAAACAAGTCATTCTAATCTGATTTCCTCTCGTGATCACTCCGGCATGTTAGCCACAGTATCACAGTGGCCACTTCCTCTAAGCAGCTGGCTTCTTTTGAAGGGGAAAGAGAGTAGAATTGAATGAGAACCGTTTGTATATGTGGTGCATACATACAAACAATTCTTTATGGAGTTCAAGTAGAGAGCTGTTTCAGCACATGTAGGCTGCAAAGCAACAAGTACAGGGTTATTCTTCATTGAAAGGAAAAGAAAAGAGACGCAGTGTTTCACACCTGAAGAAGGTTCCGCAGCCAAAACGTGTGTCTCGATTCTTTTCCATTCCGCATGGAATAAACCTGTACTTGTTCTCTTGCAACGGGTCTTTATGTCTGCATTCTTTGTTCATTTTTGTAAAGTTGTGCTGATTGGGCAGTATGATTCAGTACAGTACCAAGGATTACCACACTGTGTGAGTTTTATGTCTGCACTTTTCCAAACAGAAAAATAACTCTGAAGCAATGAAATGTACCATAGGAAAGGTTTAGCATCATAATTTAAGAGCTCCAATTGGGCAACTTAAACATCTTTTTTTAAATGTATCTGAGGTATGGTGGTGGTTAATGTTTAATGAAAATGGCCCAATGAACCTTGCACAGGTAGTGTACTGTACTATAGGGAAGATCACAGGGGCAGAGGGAGACAGACAAAAGGTGGAGAAGTTCAGCATGACCATACTTTCTGCTCATTCACTTCTGAAATGAGTGTGCCCATTTGTTGAGAAGTTCAATCATGTATGATGTTACAGGGGCCTTGTGGCAGCTGTTGGACATTTTCTACCACAGGCTGCCTGGAGTCTGTAATCGCCATAGCAACAAAGAAACTTCCCCTTCTGGTGAGTAAAGTTCTGCTTTTTTTGTCAGCAACTTTCCCAGAAGATACAACCAGATGGTTAAAAGACAATAGATCGCACTCTCTAATTTAGCCATTTTAAAATACTAAGTCTTTAGACCTGGGCGTGTTATTGGTCTGGAAAGATAATGGAATAAAACAGGAACACCAAACATACCTGGATAAAAACTCTCCCTCTTGTGACCTTTTTTAAAACAAATGGTCTGTTTGTTAGCATTTTTTATTTGGAAGTTTTTCTAAAGAATATAGACTGGGAAAAATGATACCACATAATAAACTGTAAGGATAAAGGATAAACTGTTAGGCCACTCTCCACCTGATGCTGTTAGAAATCTGTGATGTTTGGTTAAATTCTTACATATCTGAACACTAATTGGCTGTTCCTTCTTCTTCCTTTGTATTCTTCTGTTTAAAGTCAGAACAGCAGCTGGTGGACTGTGCTCAGGCTTTCAATAATCATGGCTGCTCAGGGTGAGTATGCATTCCAAGAAGGTCATTAGTAGTACACAGTTACTCGGCTCCTCGTGTTTCTCTTCATGAATAAAACTTCACTGGCCTGGTCCGTTTTCTGTTTCTTTCACCATAACGGTACAGGAAAGCTTTTTGTAGATTGTTTTGTAATCATCTCCCAACATGTAGTGGTTAATGGCCATTTATCTGTAGTCTTTGGAAATTTTGTTGACCATAACCATGACAATGCATGCTACAATTCAATGTCATCTGTGTGTTAGCCACATTTCTACCCAAGGAAAATGGGGAAACCTTTGGAGTGCATTTCCAGAGACTTCCATTACACTTTCAAAGAGATGGATATTTGCCTACAGGAAAAATTATGACCAAGGTTTTTAGGCACCTGGACACTGAATTTCCATGGTCTGTATTCCCCTTATTTTCCATCTTAATGTTTTTAGTAGTGCTTTACAACATCCAGATTCACGTTGTTGCCAGCCTTAGTGAATATGATTGATGTGGAAGATCACTCAAAACCCCTAGGGGTGTTTGGATCACACTAAGTGGCAGACAGAGTACCCAAATCTCCCTGTGAACCTCAGGTTTGCAACTGGTTAACATCACAAGACAGTTGCCTCTCCTGTATTGCTCAGTGGGCATCAGTCTGCATTGCAAAGACACAAAAGGATTCACCCCAAAGCACAACTATGGGCTGCTGGTATCTTTGCTACTATGAGATTATAGACATACTCTCTGCCTGGTTTCAGATCAGGGGTAGCAGCATGGAGTAGTGGTTAGAGCTCAGCAGAGTCATTTTAGTAATTTCAATCTGGACTGTTCCAGTTAACTGTCCTGCTGTATAAATGGGCCTTGCCTATTACTTACGACACCAGGTGGGGTATCAAAGTGTTGTGCTCTTTTTAAATATGCAGTGCTTTAGGGAAATGGACACAAAAGAGCAAAATAGTGATTTTATTTATATAGTGTGAAAACCAGTCTAGAAAAGCAAATCGCCTCTAACAGCAGGTGATGGACCATCTGCAATGGCTTCGGGAGTTCATAGTAAGGGCAAGAATATCTTCTACTCCTTGTAACACCTTGTAAAATAAAATAACATAAATAATATCAGAATATTACAGCAGCATAATAAGAATACATTTAACATATTTCCAAAGGAGATGTTATATATACTGTCAATGCTCTTCACAAACTAAAAGTAATCCAGTACCATTCTTCTTTCCGACAGTGGACTTCCCAGTCAAGCTTTTGAATACATCAAATATAACAAGGGCCTTATGAGTGAAGCTGACTATCCATATGAAGCAATGGTAGGATTTCGGTTATTACTCTCGGCAGTAGAAGCTGTAAATGTGGCAGAAAAGTACTTGTAGGGACAGGTGCAGGAAGTTGAGTGGTCAAGTGCTTAAGGTAAAGAGTTTTTTGATGACAGTTTTTATGGTTGCCTTTCTAGCTATGCATAGTTTGCCTTCTACCCTCTGTGTGTTTTTTTTAGACACAACTAAAGGTTTACTTCAGGTTCATAGAGAAAACATCCTATTGCAGGCGTTGAAGTGTATTCCATGCCAAACTCCATACTCTTTTTATCTACCGCTTACAGAATGGTAGCTGCAAGTTCAAGCCAGAGAAGGCTGCTGCTTTTGTGAAAGAGGTCGTCAACATAACAAAAGTGAGTTTCCACCTGCTGCTCAACTTACACTGAAAACCCTGAGGGAGAGGGGAGACGGGGTGGCATTTGGCTGGATATGACCTTTTCATTGTATTATATACTGTCATTATATTCATTATGTTATATACTGTATAATATTCTTCTTGTTTCCCCCTCAGTATGATGAAATGGGAATGGTGGATGCTGTGGCCAGATTCAACCCGGTCAGCTTTGCCTATGAAGTGACCTCCGATTTCATGCACTACCGCGATGGAGTGTACAGCAGGTGAGCTGAGCTGGCCTGCAGAGACTCAACAGGCAACTGCCCTGTCCCTCTGATCCTCTCAGCCTGATGTTGTGGTGAACAACATAGTATCCCTGCCTGCCTGCTCCAGCAGGACCCCAGTGTGCAGTGATTCGATCCATGGAAGAAAATGCAGTTCATGCAGCAGATTCCTTGTAGATATGAATTGTGAGGTGCAGCACACAACAAGAGACTGATGTAAATGATTGGTACAAGGGTTGGAAGACAAAGAGAAAATGATAAAATTAATGAAAAGGCTTTTATGAGGGGCCCTAGGTTTACTCTTAACAGGGGCTCAGAACTTTATTTCTAATATTGTGCTAATATTGTGCTACACACTGTGTTCGTGTATTAACTTGTTAGCCATTTACAGGGGAACTGTAGTCCCAATTTCTCCGACCGGTTATTAAATCTCGGTAACAAAATAAATTCATTGAGGTTATAGAAAAAAAAATGAAAATGTCAAATTAAGCATAAAATTGTGCACTTTGTGAATGTACCGTAAGTAGCCATATTGTCACAAATTTGCATTTGAGTCCCCACGAATAGGGACATAATTTGGCCCTTCCTCCTCACTAGTCTCTGTTATGACTAATGTAACGTGATGTACAAGTGAATTAATTCAGGCTGTGTAGCAGACATTTCACCTCAGAAATATTCCAACTTGATCTGCATGCATAGTTAACAAGTAGTATTTGTTGGCAAATCCGTCTCAAAATCAAAAGCAATATTTCTATTGGAGATTAAAGAGATGTATTCACAAACCGGCTTTTTCACAATATCATAGGGCCGCACACGTCACCGGAAGTTTTGTTGCCTCGTTCTGAATCGCAGAACATAGCGCTGTGCACACCTTGAAATTTTGTGGTATCATTTGGAGGTTTTACAAGTTACTGTGTACATTTTTCATTGTGGTTTGAAAAGCGATGATCAGTGCCGATTCTTTCAACCCCGAAATTTAAAAATAGGGTTACAGTAACCCTTTGAATTAGGAAGTATTCGCCTCCTACCACACAGAAGCAGAGGCTTGGTGTTCTGTGTCTTGTTTGGGCTACCGGACACTGCCAGCCCTGTGGATGACTCTGCCCTTTTCTCCTGCAGCACTGAATGTCACAACACTACTGACAAAGTAAACCATGCTGTGCTCGCTGTGGGTTATGGAGAAGAAAATGGCACCCCTTGCTGGATTGTAAAGAACTCCTGGGGAAAATACTGGGGGATAAATGGGTAAGGTTCCATATGCTACCATGTTCTTCCAGGACATCTGCAGTGGGTGTCAGTATAATCAAAACATATGAATTCTGTTATCCATTGGCAGAAAAAAAAAGAATTTGTTCAGCTGAAAATGTCTTAATCTAAAGCAATTAAATTACATATCTGCAAGTACATCCTACAAAGCATAGTGCTGATGAGCAATGTACAATGCTTAGAATGTAAACTAAATCAGCAAATAGTACAGTAAGCAAAACAATCAGTGATTTGGACCTGGTTTAGACTTATTCTATTTATTGATAGGTGGTAAAAAAAATACTCATTATAAATAAGCTGATTTTTCCCCCCAGGTACTTCTACATTGAAAGAGGGAAAAACATGTGTGGGCTGGCAGGCTGTTCCTCTTATCCGATCCCTCTGGTGTGAGCTGTGAAGATGGGCAGACTTGAAATGAGGCTGGGAGGAGAAGGGATGCTCAGTGCTCAATCTGTCTTTCTGCACACCTTATTTAGAAGTTCATGTTCCCAACTTTTATTAACAGCACTACAGCATGTAATTGAACTAAATGACACTTAATCAGTTTTGGGGGAACTGGAAAAACCTGTGGTGTTTGAAAAATATTTTTAGCATTTTTAAATTGCTGTTGTGCAAATACTGAGCCAGAGTTTCTGCTCTCCACTCTTAAATTTGGCCATGTGATCTTTGTAGCAAAGCCAAACACAGGAACCGTCTAATGTTCAACAAAGATTCCCATGCCTTACCTGCCAAATTATTCAGTGCCTTATTGTCTTCCTAAAAAAAAAACATAATGTAATCAAACATGATAATAATGCATTATTAGGCTATAAGTTAAAGAATCTTTAGGATGCTCACAGAATGCGTCTGATGTTGCAGCACTTTTTGAATGGAGCTGGCAATAAGTCTGTTATGTACTGTGATTACCCTTTCTTTCCTTTTACTAAAGTCATTTACACTTTGCCTAATTTACCCTTTTAGCCTAATTAGTCTTTTACAAAGACTACATTCAATTGTGCAATAATTGGAACACTTGGTAGACTATGAAATACCATTAAAACAGATAATTGACAAAAAAAAGATATTTTGCATCAGTTCCATTACTGCACAATGTATTTGTTTTGTTCAATTTCTAGGTTATTGTATTTTTTATTTTTGTGATTTTATGAATAAAATCTGACTTGATATTTTTTTTCTCTATAAGTTCAGTAATAATGTTTTGATGCAAAGCAAATAGTTTGGAGCAGGCGATTCCCAGTCCTAGGCTTGGAGACCCACACACCAGCTGGATTGTGTTCCACCCACATGCTCAGTTAAATAGTTGAACCTTTATCCAATACAGTGTTGCAGGTTGCAATGGGCACAAGGCAGGGTACACCCTGGACAAGACGCCAATCCATAGCTAGGCTCACAAACAGACTCACACCAGGGCCAATTTTCCCCAGACGCAAATTAATCCAACTGTATGTCCTTGGACTGTGTGAAGAAACCTCAGCACCCAGAGGAAATATATACTTAAAGATACATAATATGATTAATTTCCCTTAACATGTTAATAGTTGCTTTTTAATGATTACATTTGCTACGTAACTTAAATTCTCCAACATTTAAATAGAAACAAAAGAAAACTTGGAAGCTTACCGGCTTGTAGGAACTCCTGGTTTAGAGCACCAGTTAATTTCAGTTGTTAGAGGAATGCAGAACACTAGGTGTTGCAGGAAACAAATAAAGGACGGGAAACGGGTGATTAACTCAATAACTGATTCCATTACAGTCATTAGGGGTCCACCGAGAAAACAAAATGAGACACAGCAGCCATCCAGGAGAACTAAGAGTGAATAATACGGATGGAGTACATCATTGCATCGTGATGAACCGAAAAAAAAAATGACTGTCCTTCTGGCCTACTTTAAGTATTTTAAATAAGAATGCTAACTTTACTAAATTGTGCCTCAGATAAAATAAACCGTTCCTGTTATATAAGATGTACACAGATTTTAAGTAAATTCTAGTAAAACATTGAAATATTAAGGGAATATTACACGCTGGCGTTTTACGTAGAATGTTTTCAATACTTTGTGGTTAAAACAAAATCCGCAAACATTTGACCTGATACACAGTTCAGTATTTAAAAACAAATTTTATTGCTCTATTTTACCAGTAGGTCAACAGAGAATTCTCATTTACAAAAGTCGTCCAGGAGACGGATAAAGAAGGACATCTGCAGAGAAAGTTCGAGTGAATTAACAGAATATAACATCACATCACTTTATTAGCCCTATACAATTACTCGAATTAGGAATTCGTCTTTTTCGCATACCCCAGCTTGCTCTCCATCAGACACAGACAGGGAGAGAAGCTTGGGGTCAGAGCGCAGGGTCAGCCATTTACCTTCACACCAGTAAATTATATAATTAAAATCCACCAGGGACCGAAATCCAGAGGCTAATCCACTACTTTACACGAATTCCTTATCATAAATGAATACAGTAGGACCGCAACCCATGTGCGAAATACAATAAAATCTCTCATAGTGTGTGGTAGTCATCACTTCTATAATGGCATAATCTAGGGTTATTTTTTCGCTATTGTGCACTAATTTGCAAGGCTATTTATGTAAAATAATCTTTACTTTACTCACGGTAGTTAACTATCAAGACTAACAGTCTCCTCTTAATATTCTTTATTTACAGTTACGGCGTTCCCATGTTTATATTTCCTAGGACCCGAAGTATCTAATAGTTATAAACCTTGAAATATAGTACATATATACACTGATTGGTACAACGAGACGCATTAACCTAAAAAAAACATTTTTGATTCGCATAATTTTCTAAAGATCTTTTTTTATGTCGTATACTACCACAATACAGGAAACGATTCTCCCGAAGCCACATGCATTCGAGTTACACCTCCATAACACAGGAATGTTATTTTTTGTTTGTGAAAGTACGTCTTTTCTAAAGCATTGTTATATCGCAGTGAACAAAACAACAAACCAAAACAGAGCCATTTCCGTTTTTGTCCGAAAATGAACCGGAAGAACTTGTCATGGCAGTCCGCGGCAAAATTGTAAAATACAGAAATGTTGTTGAATGGGTAGTGCTGTTACGTAAGGTAAAGTCTTTAGTATTTTGTTTTAAATGCTGTGTGTTTACCTTAAACGGTAAAAAGCATGCTTGCGTTGACGTGTATTTAGTTGACAGAAGAAAAAAGGAATTTAAAACTATGTGTAAATGCTCCTACGTTGTATTATTGTGTGCGAGTTCGCATCGCGTAGTCAGTAAATATTGAGCAGTCATCTTTTTACTAATCACTACTTTTTATTTGGACTTCTAAGAACACCTCCTGTGTAATTTAAGCGAGATCTTTTTATCATCTTCAAATGTCGACACTGAAATTAAATTTTGTTCTTTTTAATCGCAGTTAAAAGTGTATTTGCACAGCCCACTTACGCCAGTGCTGCATTTATTTACAGCTATAATTTACACCATGCAAGCTCTTCCGCAAAATAACCTACAGAAACAGCTGGAGCTGCATTCCAGTAAAGCTGTGCAGAACAGGCTGTCCTTAAATAAACCCAGATCAGGGTAAGTACGCCAGGTTAATATTCCTCTGTAGTAACACACTCTACAGATCACTAGGGAGCTCCATTTGGCTTCTTTTGTTATCTTTGCTTATAAATCTATACACGTGTTTATTTTAATACCAGCGTCCTCGTTAATTTGTCATTGTACTGTATAAAATATGTGTAGCATGGTTTGACTTAGATGATAGTTTACTATCAGCACCTAAATTGCTGGTGTCTGATCGTTTTATTCCTGTTTTAAATCCAAACAAATTAGAAGTATCCAGCTTCTACAAATTAGATAAAATAGCTTCTAAAATTGCATATGTAGGCTCTTTATCTTTCTGCACTGCCATTGTTTATGCATTGTCTGCTTAGTAGGTGTTTCAAATTCATATTCAAATCTCTAAACATTAACACCACCAATGAAGGAGCTATGCTTCCTGACAACAACCGTGTGAACAGTGTTGTGGCAAGTACTGTATATTTCAGTTACTCACTGATGGGATTTTCTTAGGTAAATATAGGATTAAGGTCTGGCATATCTGACTACTGAGAACTTTCACTTTTGAAAGGTGCAATTACCTATCAAATGCATCAGAGCCTTGTATAAGGGATTACAGTTATGCAGTTAATTAAATAATTAGACCAACTATGCAAATTAAAGTTCTGATGGGGAGGGAAAAACAAAAAACACCAGACCATCAAACTGGACTTTGGGATCTCCAATTTGAATAAACCTTTCTCATTGATTTGGCTGTGGTGCTTTGTAAAATTTAGAAAAAAATAAGTAATTGATCCTGTAATGTGATTGCACCTTAAAGTGCACTGTTATCTATTGAAAAAAACATTTTCTTTCTTCCTTTCAAAAATACTGCACAAGAATTGTAGCTTTAAGTGGAAACTGAAGCCGCACTGTTTGGGTTTTCTGACAGCTCACATGCCTGTATCTGTTAAGGTTCGGTTGGTTCCGTTCTGTTGATAACCAAGAGATTATCAAGATTCTCATAGGCTCGATAGTATTTTTATTTTATTTTTTGTGGGTTAATTTTCTCCCTATTATTTTGCACAGGACTTTTTCTTTTAAAAAGAAATCTGCTTCGGGGATTACTAAAGTTGCAGTCCTCCCCAAGGTAACAGTTTCTAATGCTTTAGTGGACAGGGATGTCAATGCATTCCACCATAGTAAAGTTACTAAACCTCTGACATCTTTAAACAAGCCTGAAGAACAGCAAGCAAGAATCAACAGTTTCTTTGAGCTGACTCACAAAGCCAAGTCACAGAACTTTACACCTGTTGTAACAAGACCTGCTGTGAGCAATATCAAACTAAGTTTGTCCACTACAAAAGCTTCTCCGCAGTCAGCTCTGGTGAACACGGATGTTGGAAAGAAAGATGACAGCGAAAAGACAGCGTTGAATAACTCCCTTAGCGTCAGTATAGATGACTGGGATGATTTTGACGATTTTGACTTTGGTACTCCTGTTAAAGACAAAAGTGTTACACGGCTGAGCCAGAGTAATTCTGGAGAGAACTTTAAAAAGGAAAGTGCCTCAAATTTAAATAAACCGTGTCTGAAAACTAGCAGAGCTGCCGAAAAGATTCTGTCTGAGTCTTCAGATCACAACATTAGCAACGGGCTTCAGAATCAAGAGGAACCGCTCGAAGCCCAGAACGGCCCTGCAGCTCTGCCAGTCCAGTGCAGACCTTTACCAGATGCCTTTGCTGCTGTCGAGAAACCTCAGGGGTGCGTCGAGGATAAGGAAGAGGAAGATGATGTTCCCATAAAATTTGCAAGAAAAAGACATTTATCGCAAATTGCTCAGATATTGAGTGACAGTGAAGATGACTGTGTTGAGGAGGGAGATTTCCCCAATAAAAAGAAAGGTAAGCTTTGTTCAGCACCCTACTGCTTTAATCTCTCCTTTATAACAAGGTAGTTTAATCGTGTTAATTGATGAAGTGTTTATTTGTCTACAAAATGCTTAAGCTGCAAGGAAATTTGTTGGGAAGAAAAAGGCCATTTTCAACTTAATAACTCAAATTATGTTTTTTTAAGGTTTGCAGAGTAAGCAGATAGACACCCCTATTGCAGAAATTGAAAACAGGTCTGAGAATGACAACGAGGAACTTGATTTTGTCCCTCCATCTCCTGAGAGTGAAACCATTTCTCCACTGCTTATGAAGCAGCCTTTCAGGTAAATCAGGATCTTACAACGTGCAGTTAAATGTTTCTTGTCTCATTTACAGCGATGCAGCAGGAATTTTCTCCATGTTTTATACACGAAACCAAATTCTGAAGCTTTTATATTATCTTTCTATACAAAATGTTAGTTTATCATTTCTACAGGGAATCCTAAAAATACTTTAAGTGTTTTGTTTAAAAAGTTTGGTGTTTTGGACTTGTGTGCATGAAGCTTCTGAGTTATATCCAACGAACTTCATTTCAGTGGAGCTGAGACTCATGAATCAAGTTACAATGGACACTTTTCATCAAAGGAATTGGTTTCCAAGCAACAGAAACATGAAACAGCTGATGATGGAGATTCTGAAGAGATAAAAAGTAAGTGTTTACTTCTGTGAAAAGATAAATAATACCAGAGAACATCAATTCTCAATTTTTGAACTGTGTACACTATCCCAATCACAAAATACTCATATATCATGAGGTGTGCTATGACATTTGAGATCCATGGTTTTGATATTTGCAGGTGTGAATATATGTATTTAATTAATGTTGTAAGTATTGTTTTAGGAAAGTAATGTAAAGGGATTTTGGATTTGAAACATTTTTGGTGTTATTTAATTGTGATCATTCGTGACGCTAGAGTGCGTTTGTTGTATATGCACAAAGTCACTTTATTATTGAGAGAATTGATTGGGCACAGATTTAACCTGTTGAAAGTCACGCCTCATGTAATTAAAAAAAAATAAAAGCACAGGAGAACTGATATTTCCTTTTTATCATAAGAACGGCATCTTTAAGACGTTGGTAAATTTGAAGCTGGATTAAGTCTGTGGACTGTTGCTCTCTGTCTGTGGTGTTCACTTTCAATTGTAAGGATGTTAGGATGTTATAGCTAAACAGAGCAGTCCATCAATGGCAGACTGCAAGTCACAGCACTTCGCCTAGGGTGATGGGCAGGTCCAAGTGTGATAGTCTGGCAGTAGTATCTGGTGTTAACAGAACTCAGTGATTTAACAGAAAGTGATTTAACCACTCTGACTGCATGGAGCCATGTTAACTATGTCTTGGGACCTCACTTGCTGCATTTCCTGTAGTTGCATTCTGACATCAATGTATCCCATTGTCCCAATGCAACAATACTGTACATGTCTTGTAACCATGGGTTTCTCGCAATATGGCCATGTGGCAGTTCAAGCATAGATGCTGTGTTTGTGGGAATTGAATTATGTTTAAAATTCATGGGATGAGCTTTGACATTATGTGAGGATCAGTGAGTAGGCACATGCCTCACCAGGTTTTAAAACAGGAATAGGACAGAAATAAAACCCAGAACAACTATGCTAATAGTTGATCATCCCTGTCAAGGGCAAGTGTCAATTGGTATACAACATAATTAAATTATTTATCTATTAAAACAATCTGTGAACCTGATACAAAGAAGATGATTTCCTTGTTAAAAAGTTTGCAGTTATAAGGCATAAGCTGGTTTCATGCTTTGTATATAGGTGTTAATATGTACAGAGAGATATTTACTGAAATGTAACAAATGCTGTTAGTTAATTTACTCTTTTAAGTTTATAATGCCTCCAGGTGTATATGTATTATATGAATATAAGCATTAATTATAGTCTTTTATCAACAGACTTAATATTTGCATATATAAACCCAAAATTAGACCATGAACAGCTTTTCTGATGTTTTCAAAGATAATCTCCCCTTATATAGCCGTACATTTTTCAGTGTTGGGAGACAAATCTTTTGTAGTCAGAAAAACATTCATAGAATTCAACTAAAATGTTAATAAACTAAGGACATTCTGTATCTACATCCTACTGTGTAACTAAGTCCTTGACATATGTTTTCTTTTGCTTTATGCAGTCAGCGGGACAGATTCAGAAAATCAGCTGTTCAGCATCATGGAAGAGATATGTCAGCTGGTGGACTCAATACCTGAGCATGAGCTGACAGCACTGTCGTGTGGTAGAGATCTCCTTTTCCAGCGGGCTCGTAGGTACGTGTCTGAACAGCTGTTTTAGGGAATTGGTCAGTTCCATTGACCAACTGTGTGAATGATATTCTGTCTAGTTTTGCAGTGGGGTGATTTTTGTTTGTAAAAGTTTGAGATGCATGTGTTTGTTGTTTTGAAGTGTCACCTTAAGAAAAATGTTAATTAAGCATTATGGACTAAACAGTATCCTCCTATTCTTTTTTCTGATTTTGTAAGTCACAGTCTGGTTCATAATGAGATTGCAGCTCAAAGAAGTGTGATTCCTTAGTCTAAAAAAATGATTGTTGAGACCGTTCAGAAAGCTAAAAAAAAAACACATAACTTTTCAACTGTGCATTATTGTTACGTATGTCCTTAAAAGATTATTCATAGTGGATGATTTTGTTGAAAGATCTGAGGCATCCGATTTAAGTGCAGGGATATTATTGAAGAGATTACATATAAACCTGAGCAGGCAAATCCCTTTTATTTTGATATTTTAATATGTAGGAGTTAATAATTATTTGCAGTTATACACACCCACTTCATGGGGAGCATGAGAAGGGGCAGGCGGATTTCTCTGACCTGCCCACCCATGTTCCTACGTAACAGGCCCCACCATGACTTACAGGAGGTGGGGTACATCTCTCACTGCCACCACCACAAGCCTTTGACAGAGCCAGGGAAGTGGTGTGTGACCACTCTGCAGTGCGCCGCCAGCTGTGGTCAACACCTGGAGAATCCTTGTCCCGGTCAGCTTGTGGCATGGCCCAGGATCAGGAAGCTCAACCTGTGCTCAGAGCAAGCGTCTATACTGGTTGAGCCATTTGAGATTCCCTCCCTAAACAAACCAATTTAGTCAGTGTATTTGTGCATTAAAAACATATATGAGTAGGTCTGTCAATTGTCACTCTTCAGTAACACGTTGGTTTTTTTTTCTAGGAGAAGGTTTTTTGCAGAATCATGTCGAACACCACAAGCGCCAAGATGGACCGGCAGTCACGAAGCCTCCAACGCCAAAACTGACAACCAGTGGTCTCACTTCAAGACCCCAGTTTCCCACTCTTCCTCATTCAAAACCATTCCCAGTGGAAAGGATCAATCCTCTGCGAAGTCTTTCCGTTTCAGGAAACCCTCCTCCGTACCTTTTGCAGACGGTGACGGAAGTGTGTTCGAGGAGTCCGACTTGAGCGATACCGGTGGGATTCAGTCTCCGAGTCCCTCTTATAGGCCGAGGGGTGTCCCTAACGTGAGTTTTAACGGAGAATCTGACTCTCGAAAGGAGAAACTTGGCGTCGGCAATAATGGTAAAGATTCTCGTTCAGACACCTTTTATTCAAAATTCCCCTCCTTCAGCAGTGCCAGCAATCAAATGCCCAACTTGGAAGAAACTGACGACTGTGTCTGTCTAGCAGATACGCCTTCGCTCAGAATTCAGAACAAAACAAACACTCCCGCCTCGGACTCCTACGGTGTGGACCCATCTTTGGATGACATCGACAATGAGTTCACCTTTGATAACTTTGACATCGATGACTTTGATGAGGAAGACATGGGGGATTATTTTGAAGGCAACGATTCTGCCTCCAAGAAGCAGGGCACTGAGGGGGTTCAGCCAGTAAGAGAAGGGCACCCCAGCAAATCACTGTGGGAAAAGAAAAGTCCTTCTTCGTCTTTCTCGTCTTCAGCTGCCAAACCCTCGAAGCCTACGTCTGAATGCAGTCTGCCAGGCAAGTGGTTTCCTATTTGCCATGGTTATGTGTGCCTTGCTAGTATGATCACACGTCAAACTGGACAGCAGAAATAAGGGTTTTATAGGTATTTAATATTAAAGATCAATAAACTAAGTTCATGTACTTAGTGTGTACTACATTGGATGTACTTAGAATGTTAGAATTAGAATCTTAGAATGTTTAAGGTGTTTCTCAAAGTGTGTACATGCCGTGATTAACATATACAGCACACGCTAATCTTGTTTTCTTTTAGTTCGGCACAATGTACTGTAGGATCAAACCAAGACTTCTTTTTAATATCATTCTTTTGTGTACTCATATTGTTCATCAGGTACACAATTCTATTTGAGACTTGTACGTTTAACTATATCGATGCCATTAGCTGTACCAACTGGATTTTTAGTGAGCAGCATATCACATATAAATCGTGCACGATCCATGAAGTTGCTGTCCTTTTTTTCTCCGTTGTTATTTATCACCATTGTTCTTGTAGAGCCCATAAACAGAAACCCGGCACATGATCGCTTCAGGGGATGCAACTTCCCTTATTCACAGGAAATGATGAAGATTTTCAACAAGAGATTTGGTCTTCGTCAGTTTCGAACCAACCAGCTGGAAGCCATCAATGCCACGCTGCATTGCGAAGACACATTTGTACTGATGCCAACTGGTATGTAGAGAATGCATGCTGAGCCAAGGCACACTGATTTCATTAAAAATGATTTAGTGCAGTGAGTATAGCAACAACATTGCAGGTTGCAGTGCAGTTGCATTGCAATATATACAATATCTACTGATATATATCTGCTTATATATACAATATCTACTGAATCCACCCACCTTCAGAGCAAACTTGGGAAGCAAAATGCAAACAAAATTAAGTAAAAGAAACTTACAAATGTAGTATGTGGTTTTATATAGGCAAGAAAAAATACAAAACTCCTATAATATTTGTGTACCTGTAGCTTCTTTGAAATTGGTATTTTTCATTATTTCCAAGACTTAATAGTTCTAATTTGTAAAAACAATGTGCTGTGATGGCCCAGTTCCTAATTTGATCTCTTTGTCCTTCATGTGTTTTAGGAGGTGGTAAAAGTCTTTGCTATCAGCTCCCTGCCTGTGTGTCTCCAGGAGTAACCATTGTTATTTCTCCTCTCCGGTCTCTGATAGTTGACCAGGTGCAGAAACTCACAACATTGGATGTAAGTTGTATGATAAGTGTTTGTGAATTGAAGATTTTTTTAATACTACCGACCATCTAAACTCACTTTTTTTTTCATTATTGGGCATCTTTTGGACTACTATTGAAATCGCATTTGTATTCTGAATTATTTCCTTATTGTTTTATTTTTTGAAAACCACAGATTCCTGCCGCAGGTTTAACAGGATTCAAGAGTGACAGTGAATCTGCAAGAGTTTACATGCAGCTGTCGAAGAAGGATCCCATCATTAAACTCTTATATTGCACCCCAGAGAAGGTAGGGGATAATTTCTACAAAACAGAAAATTATTTGAACTAAACATAGTTTTAAAATGGCATAAGTCACACATTGATTTATTTTTATATTGTCATGTCTTGAGGTTTTATTTATATTGTGTTGCACCTGGGCTGGGAGCGGCTTTCTTCCCGATGTTGCCCCAGGCCCCCAGCACCTTCACACGGGCTCTCGGCCTCCTTTCGACCCCCTGTGAACTCACTCGGGATGCATCTCTCAGAGGCCACCAATCTTTGAATCAGGCTGACCATCCCAAAATCGTTCAGGCGATTGTGAAGGCTTTTTAAGGCTTTTTCCCCTGCTTATGAGATAAGAATACAGTGCTAGCCTCGTAGTAATTGAGACGCAGACCTGAAAAGCACCCTTTCCCTGTTTTTGCTCTCTGTCCCAAGCACTGACCGACGGGGTTATTCTGGTCTCGCTGTTTTTTTCCCGGCTCGTGATCTTCGACCCCTTTTCCTTCCTTGATTCACTGTCATCTCCTCCCCTGCCTTGTCCACTGCCACTACCAGACAGTCCCGTTCTTCAGGGAGTCTTCGCCTGGTTCAGACTAACTCTGTTTCCAGCTCTGTTTCCTGTCTCCTCTGCAGCCAAGGCAGCCTTTTCCTGCTCATTACTAATCCGGCTCCTCTGGCTCTTCTTATCAACTTGCATCATGTCTCACTATTGCCTCGCTCTCGCCAAGCCTTCCCAAAGATTCCCAAGACTCCTCTGACAACTGCGCTTGGAGCTTGGCTTGTCATTCGCCATGGCCCTGAAACGTCAGGGACTGGAGCATCACATATTGATGCTGTTCGGTTTTTATTCACAGAGGAAAATTGCCATACAGACAGATATGTTAAATCAAAGAGAACTTCTGCGAAGGATGCACTGGAACAAAAGCAGCAGAATTTTAAATGAGCCAGATGTTTTTTTTTATGTTTCTGCTTTAATTAGGTTTGCGCAAGTAACAAGTTTATCAGTGCCCTTCGGAATCTGTACGAGAGGAGTCTCCTCTCGCGCATTGTCATCGATGAAGCTCACTGTGTTAGCCAGGTAAGTTTTTTTTTTAGTTATTGTAAAAAAATGTATTTGTTTATCATACGTGATAATTTAAGGGCTTAAAAATATTTTATGGAGCAGAGCATGAGTTGCGTCTTAATTGGAGCTCATTATGGCAGCTCTGGAGAAGTTCTCTGGCTGGGATAGAAATACAGACCATTAGGCTGTTACCTGCTGAATTCAGGATGCCGATACCCTTCCTCCATCCCCAATGCACCAGCCCTTTGGGTGATAATACGGGGATTTTGCTGTTCTTGTCCATACAGCCAGGCGGTTGGTCCTCAGACCAAACGGTCAGGCCAAAGCCAAGCATGTCAGCCTTCGGAAGAGCAAGTGCTCTTCTCGCGGGGTTTGTCCACGTCTTCCCGGTGAAAAGGCGGGGGTTGACGGACACCGTTCTTCTTCCAGTGGGGCCATGACTTCCGGCCGGACTACAAGCGGCTGCACGAGCTGCGGCGGATGTTCCCCAGCGTGCCCATCATGGCGCTGACGGCCACGGCCAACCCCCGAGTACAGAAGGACATCCTCAACCAGCTGCAGATGCTGAAGCCACAGGTGTGAGTGTCCCTGCACCGCTGCCCGGCTCGACGACCGCGTGACCGGACGAGGACGGCGTCCTCCTTTTTCCTCCTCTCTTAATGATAATAATCATGGGGTGGGAAGGGCAGAGGCACTTCCTTCCATTGCTAGCCTGTCCCTGCGTTCCTTGTGATGATATTTATTTAAAAAAACACTGTTTAAATGAAAGCAGCAGTATCGATCTGATGAACTGAAAATGGCATTATTTACGATAAAATCTAGCATGTCTTACTCTACATGTCAGGGAATTCAGTATTCTCTCACATCTGCCACCCAGAACATGGGTTTGGTGATGTATTTATCAAATGTTTTTTGTTTTTTCACTAAGTGAAATCTTTCATTATTGTTTATAGTTGGCTTTTTGATTTGGCAGTATTAAAGATGTTTTTTCAAAAAAAGAAAGCTAATGGTTTATTTTTCTCTTTGTAGTTTTACAATGAGCTTCAACAGACATAACCTAAAGTATGCGGTTTTGCCTAAAAAGCCCAAGAAGATTGCTGAGGATTGCCTTGAATGGATCAAGAAATACCACCCACGTATGTATGCTAGCTTCCACAGGGTCGTGCACTCGGTAGCATCGTACGTATGGTTAAGCGGCTGATGAAAATGGGGATACTAACAATTCAACGTGTTTACTTTATTTTGAGGTGAAAAGGCTTTATATTTTTAGCTTGCAGGAAAGAGTAATGCTTTGTATAATCCTATAAATGAACTATAAAGTAAAAGCATGAATAAATGAGGTTCTCATTGATATTTTAAGTTTGATTTATTGGAACATGTCAACATTTATCATATACTGTACAAGCCCTCATCATGATACAGATGCAAACTCCTTGTACTCCAAAAAGTATTATATTATTTTAACTGATTCTTACTGATCAGAACCCCAGCAGTTTTGGGTGGGCTTTTCTTGTCTTTTTATATTTGTAGATTATTTTCCATTTTAAGGAAAGATTCAGTTCATTAGGCCTATCTTTATTTTTTTATCCGCATACAGGTGATTCTGGGATTATTTACTGCTTATCTCGAAACAACTGTGATTCCATGGCTGAAAGCCTGCAGAGAGGTGGAATTACAGCTTTAGCATATCATGCTGGGTTGAAGGACAGTGACAGGGATTATGTACAGCAGAAATGGATTGAGCAGGATGAGTGCCAGGTGAGTAGGCATTTTAATTTATTTTATATATTAATCAATTTCATTATTAGCCTCGAAATTAAATATTCTTCTTAGTTTATAACTGCATATGTTTTAAGAATATATAATTAAATTGCTCCGTCTCTTATTGCTTCTAGTGCCCTTTTCAGAATGTAAAAAAAAAAATGATTTTGCTGATTTCAGCTTTTTTGGTCAAAAGAAATTAATGTTTTACTTTGAACAAAATGTGGGCTTTGGCCATTGTATTAGTGGTTTTCATTTTTTTTATCTGATCATCTGATTTCATGTGCGTTGTAGGTTTCTAATTGCATAACAATACAAGTTATGTTAATGGATTTGAACTCTGTGTCCATCAGGTAATGTGTGCTACCATTGCTTTCGGAATGGGCATCGATAAACCAGACGTGCGGTTTGTGATTCACGCCAGCCTGCCCAAGTCTGTGGAAGGGTATTACCAGGAGTCAGGCAGGGCTGGCAGGGATGGTGAAATCTCCCATTGTGTCCTTTTCTACTCTTACAATGATGCTATTCGAATCAAGCGGCTCATAAACAGTAAGTCCCCGAAAACCTTTCTTGAGCAATTTGCGGTGCAGCGAAGTGTGATTCTGCAGTCTGACTATGATGATGAAGATGATTTCGGATGGGGCTGTGAAAACTGTATTTCACGTATTTCACGTATTTCAACTTCCAGATTTGAGATTTGTGCTCCTAAATTATTTCTGCTCTTAACTTTTAATTAAATCCTCCTCCTCTTGTACACAGTGGAGAGAGATGGCAACAAGGAGACCAAGCAGACTCACATCACCAACCTGTACAGTATGGTGCATTTCTGCGAGAATGTGGTCGAGTGCCGGCGAACACAGTTGTTGGCATACTTCGGGGAGCGCACATTTAACCCCAATTTCTGCAAGGAGCACCCTGATGTCACCTGTGACAATTGTGCCAGAGCTAAAGTAAGATGTGTTTTTCATTTTTAATATATTATTATTTCACCCCACTTGTATAGGGCTTTTCTGGATGATCCACTCAAAGTGCTTTACAGATAATGGGGATCCTCTCCACCACCAGTGTGTAGCTCCCACCTGGATGATGCAACGGCAGCCAAAGTGCGCCAGTACTCTCACCATATACCAGCTAGTAGTGGGGAGGAGAGCAGACTAATGAAGCCAGTTCATAAGTGGGGATTATTAGGGGCCATGATTAGTAAGGGCCTTTGGAAAATTTGGCCAAGAGTCTCGGATTGACACTCTCTCTTATCGAGAAATGCCCTGGGGTTTTTAATGGCCACGGAGAATCAGCATCTCAGATTTACATCTCATCTGATGGATGGTGCCTTTTTACACTCTAGTGTCCCCATCACTATACTGGGGCATTAGGACCCACACAGACCATGGAGTTAACGTTAACGTTAGCTTTCCCAGGAAGGATCACATCCAGGTACTGGCCAGGCTCACACCTGCTTAGTTTCAGTGGGCTGCCAGGAGTGAAAATGAGAAAATTGTTATATTCAAGTTGTATACTTTTTTTCTCCAGTCCTTGTGAAGCTAGCCTTGGATTAAGTGTTAAAATGCGATTGGCCTCTACATTACTTTTTGTCTTGGGAATAGAACACCAACGATACACTTGTTTCTCATCTGGTTGAAGGTGAAACTTGCCTTACTGTTTCTTGTTGTAAGTCGTGAGTCTTACAATAGGAATTTTAAAGCTAGCCCAATGGAGTTGCATTGTTTTGTTGTGGAATTAAACTGTCTTTTCAAAACCCGTAACGTTGCAGCTATACAAGTCAAGGAATGTGACAGAAGAAGTGAAGAACGTTGTAAGATTTGTTCAGGAACACTGTGCAAAGGTTGGCGTGAGACAGGCCAAGTCAGCGCAGCTGAACAGACTGACTCTTAATATGCTAGTGGATATTTTCATTGGTAAGTGGAGAAATCACTGTAAAAGAGACTTAATTCAATTTATGAAAACTGTGAGTGAGACATGATCAAATTTTGTTGTAGTGATCCTGTACTAAGTTATGTTGCACATGAATGCTTTTTATTAAAATTATCAATAGTTTCTGGTACCTGAATATATGTTTTTGTGTCCTTTATGCATTTGCAGGTACGAAAAGTGCCCGTATCCAAACGGGCTTGTATGGTAAGGGAGCAGCCTATTCCAGGCACAATGCCGAGAGACTCTTCAGAAAGCTGGTGCTGGAAAATGTTTTAGAGGAAAGTTTGTACATCACAGCCAATGACCAAGCTGTGGCATACATCTCCGCAGGCCAGAAAGCTGCAGCTGTTCTCAGTGGCTTCATGCAGGTAAGAAAAGGCTGGGATAGGGGGATTTGCTGTAACTGAAACACGTTATTTCTCTTGAACCTGTTGGGTGAATGCTTTTCTTTAAACTGTTGTTGGTAGTTTACCAGATCTACCAGATGCATAAAGAATTGTCTAACCTGATGTTTATAGGTATCTTGGTCATATACAAAAACAAAGGGTTGCTGTTTTGTGTTGATCACCTTGCAAATACTGTACGTAGGCAACTTTGTTGCAAGAAATGCATACAGACAAAATGCACCGGAGCATTACCACCTTGTAGTGCCAAGTCTCTGAGATCTTGGCTAATGTTCTCGAGTCAGTTTATAAATGACAACCCTGTGTTTTCTTAAATGTCTTTGTATTTGTGCATCTTCACCCACAGATAGAGTTCTACGACACTGAAAGTGCCTCCAGCATCAAAAAACAAAGGGCGTCAGTGACCAAAAACATGTCGAAGCGGGAAGAGATGGTCCAGAATTGCCTTCAGGAGCTTAACGATCTGTGCAAGAAGCTGGGAAAAATCTTTGGGATACACTATTACAATATATTTTCTACTGCCACTCTAAAAAAGATTGCAGGTAAACCAAATCTTTGTAGAGCGTGTTTTGCAATGTGGGCTTTTTCTTCTGAGTCTTCACCTACTGGCGCTGATTTTTAACTTCTGGTTGCAATATGGTATGTAACCTCATGTAATGCTCTTTTGCAGAGACATTGTCCGCTGATCCTGAAGTTCTCCTTCAGATTGACGGAGTGACAGAAGACAAACTGGAAAAGTATGGAGCTGAGCTGATTCAGCTTCTTCAGAAGTACTCCGATTGGCAACTGCCTGGTAAGAGAACACCGGAGAATATAATCAACGTCTTCTGTTTCCCTTGGCTTGCATGCTTAACCACACCGTGGTATGAGACACTCTATGGCAGGTATTTCTGTTTTATGCTATTTCTTCAGCAGTTGTAGAGGTGTTGCTCCTTTATGTAAAACAGCTTGAGGTTCCTTTTGGAGATTGTTAATGAGTTAAACCCAGTCGTCAGCAAATGGGTCTCTGTTGATTAATGTGTTGCATGAATTGCTTTTCCACAGTTTAGCTCCTCAGATTAAAAGACTTGTTTCTCGATCTGTAGTGGAGGAGCACACGGAGAAGCCAGTCGGCAATGATGGCTGGATTGATGTGGAGAGGAACAGAAGGGAGGAGCAGGAGCTCTGCGATGAGGACGCAGGAGGGTCCAGCTATTTCAAGAGCACAAGTGAAAGGGGAGGCAAGCGAAAGAAACCTTCCTATTTCAACAAGGCCAAGAGGAGAAAAGGAGGCTATAATTCCTCCACCAAAGGGTAACTGTCATACAGTCTTAATTCCCAGAGTATCATTTATCTATTAACGTAAAAACTGTATAGCATATAATTTATTGAGCTAATGTATACATTTCCCCGCTTTCTCCTAACAGTGGTTAAAGTTGTGAATTGTCTTCATTAAACAGAGACAGAAAGATTATCCTTGTTAAATTCCATACTTTCTGATGCCGGTATTTTCTTTATATCCCCTTTTGTTTGAACGAGTTATGATTTTCTTGTGTTTATGCTTTCCTGTAGTGATCCTTTTGTTTCTGTACGTTCCCAGCTTCTCAGAGATGTTTCTGTGTAAACGTGTTGATTTATTTTCCTCTGGTCCAACAGCAACAACGCTAGGGCATCATCCACAGCTTCCAAAGGTGGGTCTAAAGACAGAGGTCAGGATTCAGCTGGAAGCTCTAAGCCAGCGATGGCCACCAAGAGACCAGGCTTCATGGCACCACCAGTTCCACGATCCAACCAGCGTCCCTTTCTGAAGCCTGCTTTTTCACACATGTGAAATATGGAACATTTTCACAGACCTTCTCATAAGAAGCAGCACTGTTTAAAGGATTTACATTAAAAAAATGTGTCTACCTCTTCCTTTGATCGGAGCGAGTGACATTGTAACACCGGTGTGTAAGTAAGTAGTGTTTGTCTTTCAGAACTTCTGAAGGCGAGAGTGGATACGAGCCTGTAGAGAACTTTCAGATAGAAACTGTAAACTTGTTGTTTATGGAATGCTAGTATAATATTTCCAAAAACCTTTCTTTATTGAAACCTGGAGATCCAATTTTGAAATCAGCTTCCATTTGAAGTACATTCTGAAGGGATTTTTTTCATGACTTGACAAACTGGTAAATATGTAAGTAAACCAAATCTGTATTAATGGAACATACGATGTCAGCAGTGTTAATAATATTTGTGTGTTCAGAGAAATACATATACTGCTCAGCTTGTTTATTTTGTTCAGGATATTTTATGTGCAGTTTATATATGTGCCCAGCAATGG